GTCTACTTTAGGGTTCAACAATACTGTAGGTTACAGACTCCACATTTATTATCACATCCACTGTGTCTTTCTGAAACTGAAGTTGTTATCCAGATTTGCTACCCAGATTCTACTTTAGGTACTTATTTCAAACTCAACACAAGATTAAATACTGAATAATCACAGTTATAGGGATGTCCACAATAAAAAGGATCATTTAACATTATGAAGAAATTTTTAAAATTGCAAATGTTTTCTTCTATATGAAGAATGGAATTATGGATACCATTATTTAAGATTAAGTTTGAAAGAATTTACAAAAAATATCACATCGTAATTCTGTAATTTAATTTTAACTTATAGCTGCATGAAACATCAATATTGTGAGCATATGTGGTAGAGGTTTGAGATGAGGTATCAATATTATTAATACACAGTTCTTCCTCTTACTGCTATTAACTGATCTAAAAGAAGTGGCAGGAATCCTGAACAGGTGTCCCGGATATGTCTTGACACAGAAAGAAAAAAAACTTAATTTAGACAATAGTATACAGTAATAACCATCTGTGGAGGATATCAAAATAAGCAAGATGGTAGACAAGGTGTGGCATTGCTGCTTTTGAGCAAGTGTATTGATATATGCACATAATAAGTGGGATTTGCATTGTGATATTCAAATATTTGTGTTATGATGTTCAAATAAACCGCCATTTGCAGATGCTTTCAGTAGCACTAATAGGTTCTGCCAATCAATATAGAGATATAGAATCTCACTTAGATGAAATGTGCTATATTTATGAATTTATTCTGAGGTGTTCATGCAATAGCATCAGCCTGAATGTTGGATATCAGCTATAAAGCAAGTTATTTTATTTTTTTGAAAAATGGATTTCCCCTGCTTTAAATACCCTTGGGATTTATTCACATGGAAGGATGGTTCTTGAAATAAAAACTAGTAGTTGGTCAAAGTATATGAGCAATATACTTATTCTACTACTCAGATTAGAGTCCTTTTATCTTCTCAAGAGGTCACCCATACATGTCATATTAAATTTCATTTTAAGCAGGAATCAGAAGTATTTTCATGCCACTTATTTATAAAAAACAGTTATATATCTAAATAGTAGGTATTTGGAGATAATACAGAATTGAATAGAGATGCACATAAGAATGGAAAAGTTACAGGAAAATTTTACTTACTTCAAACTAGTAAAATATGTAGGAATTTTCAGTTACAACCCCAACTGAAGGGATAAAAGAGGAAAATACGTTTGGGAAATGCCACAGTATCTTGGTATAAATTATCATTTGAAACCCTGGCAATTTTAAAATACTATTTGAAGACTTTTTTTAATTATCAATTTAGAGAGCTGCCCAACTCACAATTGCAACTCTGGGCGCTCAGCATTAGATTAAAAGCAAGAAAACAAAAATATGCCATACCCAAGTGTAATAAAAATAACACATCTCAGACTAAACAAATGTTCATAGAATGGGCTCATCTAACATCCTGGCCAAAGAAGGGAAAGTGGCCTAAAGCAAAGAATGGAACAGAGTGGAGAAGCTACATTTTAAAAGCTTTGCAGGAATAATCACTTCAAGCAATGCATGTGGTGGAAGGAATAACAGTGTATTGATTGCTACCATATAATCATGTTATCTGTTTTTATCAATTCATTTATTTTTTACGTTTAGATTTTAGAATATAGAAATTTACTTCTAGAATCTAGAAATGTCATGTGTACATCTACTATAAAATTGATCATTTTATTTTTACATTAAGATTTGATCTTGCAAACAAAAAGGTATTTTCACTTTTCCATTTTATATAAGCATTCCTTTAGCAATTCTGTGATAACTTCAAATACAATATATGTAAACAAAAGCAACAAAGAAGATACAAAAAGTTAATATTCTTATTATGCTCTAGTGAAACCTGCAATCCAAGTCTGATTGCTGTATAACAAAATACCTACTGACTGTCTGCTGTTTTCATCATCATCTTCATCATAACCATCCTCTTCTCCTTCCATTTTACTGAAGTCATCTTCTCCATAGCTTTCTGACACCAAACCAGCTTTTTCTTCTAGACCATCCAAAGGAAGAAAATGATTAATAGTCACTTTGCAACCCAGTGAAAATACACACAGATTGATACTATTGTACAAAATCACATAAATACACCTGCTGAAATAAAATTACCCTGCTAAACAAGAACTATGATCTTTTACTTAAGTAACTTTTCTTCAACCCCTCTAGTGTAAGTTCTTTCTTGCTAACTGTCCAATAAAATACATTAGTCTTACTATGTTTTGCATATACCATGGCACTTAAAAGTGTGTGTGAATGAGTTTAAATTTACAATGTTTCTGCAGAAATATAACCTAAAACATAATCTGTCCTCCATACAGATACTAAAACTAGTTAAAGAGAAGCCAGATAAAGAAATGAGTCAAAACATTATAATTCATTTATTTACTGAGGAAAGCTACAAACTTGTAGTGGCTAAAGTAAATGACCTTCTAGGGCAGTGGTGTCAAACTGGTGGTCTGCGGGCTGGATGCAACACATGCAGGCCACACACACTCCAGCTCCACAAATGGGAAAAATGTTGTGAAACATCACGTGATGGCAACGTGATGGCCTGAGTTCGACACCCGGATTATCAATTCATTTGAAGGGGAAATTCAGGGGTTTCAATCAATGATTGAAGATAATCAGGTGTGAGTGTGAAAGGTTTGCCTTATTTAAATAATGGAATTCTGAATATTCACTTTCAAAGTCTGATCTTTGCAACACAGGTAAAGAGAAGTGTGTTATGGCTCAAACAAAGGAGGTTTTTAAGCATCTCCCAAAAACATTGTTGATCCTTACCAGGCTAGAAAATGTTACAAAATTATTTCCAGAGTTTGAATTCTGTCAGTCCACTCTCAGGCAGACTGTGTGCAAATAGAGATAATTCAACATCACCGTTACCTTTACCAGGAGTGGTTGACCAACCACGATCATACAAAAGGCAAAGTGTGTAATACTTCAGGAGGTGTCAAAGAGGCCCAGAGTAACATCTAAGGAACTAAAGGCTTTTTTCCACTGGTGAATATCAGTGTTTGTGAAACTATCATCAGAAAAACACTGAACAACAATGGTGTACCTGGCAGGGTTGCAAGGAGAAAGCCATTACTCTCCAAACGAAGAAAATTGTTGTCCATCTACCATTTGCGAAAGACCATGCAGATAAACCAGAAGGCAACTGGAAGAATGTTCTGTGCACAGATAAGACCAAAATAGAAATTTCTGACTTGAATGAAAAACATGTTTGGTGAAAGGCAAACACTGCATTTCAGCTAAGAATTTTATCCCATTTGTGAGACATGGTGGTGGCAGTATCAGTTACTGGAAGCAAAGGTTCACATACATTTGCCACACACAGGTATGGAGTTCTGGATCATTTCCCCCAATAAATCATTAAATATGATGTTTTGGCTCACACAGATTATAATTAGAATAATAATCTAATTATTCTCTTTATCTAGCTTTAGGATTGGTGGGAAGAACAGATCACATTTTAGGTATTTTAAGCACCACTGTTTTTTATATATATAACGTTTTATTATTTTTTATAAAAACAGACATTTAGTACATCTGTCGCCCACTCCCTGTGACATCTCGGTGTTATCTTCGGTCATTCTTCTTTTTTTTTTTTTCTAAAAAAGGAACTTTCTTCTATCTTGATCTTTATACAAATAATTTATAAATTATCTTTATACAAATAATTTATAGATTATTTTAATATCTCCTTACTAAAACAAAATTCTGCCTATGAAATTTTTAAAATATAATCATAAACCTTTTATCTTTTATATCTCTTTTCCAACCAATAATAGAAACAGTTCCATATTCTATAATACTCTTATCTCTTCCTTATCTTTAATCCTTAAAGTCAATCTATTCATTTCTGCACAGTCCATAATTCTTTTTAAGCACCATTGTATATGCCAAACAATACCAAGTCAAACGTCTGATATTTTCTCTAACAACTAGTATGGTAGAACTCGCACTGAAGAGGCTTGAAGAAAGCAGCCGCTGTAAGTAACTGTGGGGGCTGAAGTTAATTCACAGCCGTAGCCAAATAAAAAGGTGCTTCATATTTTCAGAAAGGCACCTTCTCCAATAACCAAATTATCCGCCCAAGATCATGAGAGAGAGAGAGAGAGAGAGAGATTGAGAGAGAGAGCTTCAACGGGGAGTAAAGCCATTTATCATACCTCCCTGAACACGAAGCCAAAGCCAACCAACCCTATGATGCATCAGCACACCCAGCAAAGACCCCGAAGCTGATTGCGAGCCATCCCGATCAGCTTCCAAAGAAGAAGAAACGAGGCATGGCGTCTTATTAAACCCAACCAAACCGCCGCCTTCGCCCCAAAGGCCTCACCGGTCCCTCCTCCTCGATCGCTACCGGCCCCGCCGGCCTCGCTATCAGACTCGGGCTCGGAATCTTCCGCATAAACCGCCAAGGAAGATAGAACGCTTTTTTTCGCCGCCGCCGCCATCTTCCTTTCCGAACTCCGTTGAATTCTCTTCCGGCGCAGGAAAATGGCGTCAGCGAAGCGATCGCCGGAACTACCGTCTTTCTGTTCGGGACCGCGATAAGCCGCGGACTAATTTTCACCTCAAAAGTATCTCCCTCCCAAGGAGGAATCCGTGTACTGCCGGGTGTCGTTCAAAGCAGAGAAAAAGAAGAGCATTTTGTCTCCAAAGTCTCGGCTCTTCAACGGCTTCTTACGTCATCAACGCGCGCTGAAGCGATGCCGAAGTCTCAGAGGCTGCTGGAAAATGAAGCCGTCTGAATTGCTAACCGGGATTCTGGCAACGGCTGCGCCCTCACCGGGGCCTTATGGCGCAAGGATGTAGTTTCGGAGAACTGGGAAGGAAGGGAGTTTAATACAGCTAGTTTATGGAGGCACTAAAACGCTTCCCCGCGGGGCCTCGATCTCGAGTTTCGGTCTCGGCTTCCCTCAGATGGAAAAGGTTGGAGCGGTCAATACCTGGAGATTATTATTTTTTTTAATCCCAATCCCCGGACAAAGGTCTGAATTTTTCATCGTACCTCTTTTAACCTGCTGGGTTTTTCTCTGGCGGATCTCTGCGTTAGAAAATAATGTGAGAAAAGTGATACCAATAATAAAAAGGTCAGGAAATTCAAATTGGTGTCAGAGTTAGGGGTCGGTTAAATAGCGATTTGTTCTCCAAGCCCACTCACCCCCTCCTTGAAGGGTTAAATATTATTTCGTGCGAATTTAAAAGCTGCATTTTGTGGAGCATTTTCTGAAGGCTGACCTAAAAAAAAAGGCTAAAATTTGGCTTAGTACTTTTGCGCGAACGCCACTTTTGAAGGATCCCAAAACTATAGCCTAAACTGGGTAAAAGAAAAACATCCTGAAAAGACAGCTGCTTCCCTATTGTTTAGAAAATCGCATGGAATTGAGCTCCATTTGAAGGAAACGAAGGTTGGGACACAGGAGCTTGCAAGGCAATAGAAAAATTAGTACATATAAAATAGTAATCTGCATTCCGAAAAAGCAAGAAAATAGTTAAATTTCTTGTGCCTAGCATTTTGTAGTCTCTGGATTATAATACCAAAATAGTTTTGCTTTTTCTATAGGCTAATAAATAGCAAGAATCCTTTTGTATTTTACTAAATCAGAGAATATAACTGCCATGGTGATGGTTGTATAAAAATAAATTATACTTCATTTTAAAGAAGATGGTATTATTGAAATACGTCTGTTATGCCTATACAGGTGATGGTTTGCAAGAAAAGAAAATAATTGCATGAAGACCCTCTCCTTACCTCTAGTTTGAATTATTCTTAGTATTGGCTTTTAAGATGAGTAACATCTCTTCCTCAAGATTGGAAGATAGAGTTCTGCAAACTCTGACAAAAGTTTTTGGATTTAACTCTTTCAAGACTTCATTGCAAGGAAGTGCAACTATGACTGTGGTAAAAGGTAAATCGCAAGTACTTTTTATGACAGTATAAAATATTTTTAACATGTCATTCAAAGATTCCCAGCTTTCCAAAACATGGCAAGTATTAAATTCAGTTCTCTGCAACAATAAGATAAAAACATATAGTGAAAAAGCTCTGAATATTATAAAAGACCATTTTTCTACTGCTGAAATTACAGAAAATCTTTTAGATTCATTATTTCATTATTTCAATTGCAGATTTTCCTAGACTCTCTTAAAATGAGTAATTGAACTTGGCCAACTCTGTAGTAACAATTGATTTATCTGGGAAATAAACCCAATTAAACAGACTGTTTTCTAAGGAAATGAATTGTCAGTTCCAAAGGTTATGTTAGTTGAGAAATCATGTAAATGTATTACAATCCTAATACATATAGAGAATACTTGGCTGGTGATGGATTTTACATCAATTTGGATGACGCTGGTTTAGCTTCATAAACTAAAATGTGAAACTACAATTTATTCTGAAAGTTTTCAGTTAATAGTAATTTCCTAAAACATCCAAACTGAAGAGCTATGAACTGGAGTCAGATTTCATCATTCATAGAATGGAAATCAAATAAAACTGGTCAGGTAGTCCTCAACTTATGACCACAATTGAGCCCCAAATTTATGTTGTTAAGTGAGAAATTTTCTAAGTGAGTTTTGCCCCATTTTACGACTTTTCTTGCCACATTTGTTAATCATTGAAGTTTGTTAAATTAGTAACAGGTTGTTAAGTGAATCTGGCTTCCCCATTGTCTTTGTCAGAAGGTTGCAAAAGATGATCATATGATCCCAGGACACTGCAACCATCATAAATATGAACCATCTGTCAAGCATCCAAATATAAATAGCTTGACCTTGGGGATGCTGCAATGTTCATAAGTGTAAAAAATAGTCATAAATCACTTTTTAAAAATACTATTGTAACTTCAAATGGTCACTAAATGAACTGTTGTAAATTGAGGACTAACTGTAAGTCATGACTATTTTTCTGACCCACAAAAATGAACCATTTCACCTTAATTTAATCCATAACATTAAACCAATATTACTCCTGTTCTGTTAGCTGGGAAACCCAGCACCTCTAGTTCTCCCAGCCTATCTGGAATTAAAGCAAATAGAAATCCAGTCCCATCCATCACCCAGAAAAAGAACAGCTGCAAAGAGCTTGTTCTCCTCACCATGGCACTCTGCTCCATCTTTGCCCTGCAGTTGCTATACCAAAAGAGCATGCTGTGGCAAAAATCTGAGAGCTGATAGTGCGCATACATGCAGGACTTTTTGAACAAGGAGTTGTTTTCTTACAAAGATAATTTATTATATGGCATTCAGAAGTGCAAATTTCATAGTTCCAGTTACATTTGAATGATTTCATAGACATCCCATGTAAGAGTGAAACTCATGGACACATTTCAGCAACATCAATGACATGCTAATTGCTATGGGGCTTTGTGGCCTTTTGATGGCCAATTTAGAGCCTCATTTAAATGATACCGGAATCCACTCATTAAACTTGATCTGTGGTACCTTTTTTCTGGATTCAGCCTGAAAAAAAAAGGTTCTGTCACTGAATAGCAGAAAGCTCACTCTGAGCTAAAGCATTTCTTTTAAGTCATTTTCATAGAGTACGTAGCTCTAATACGTTTTACTACAATATATTGTCTCGGTAGTGTTGTGCTTATATGGATATATGTAAGGTTTGATATCCTATGCATATCCTAGAAAAAAAATTGTGCTGGTCTTCAAAACAGAATCTGGAGATACTTGTAATTGAAAAAAAGATCTTTATACATTTTGTTCTTGCTTTTGCAGGGGAAAAGGATGTATTTGTATGTATGCCAACAGGAGCAGGGAAATCCCTGTGTTACCAGCTTCCAGCAGTTTTGGCAAAGGGCATCACGATAGTGATTTCACCATTAATTTCACTTATTCAGGTATCTTCTACAATTATTTGAAAGAAGAAATACATTTCTTTAAATAGAAAAATGCCTTAGAATCTACGTTTTCTGAAGAGCTTGTTAGCTTAATTCAGATCAATAATTACAGGTTATTGTATAATTCAATCTCATAACTGAAAGTAATTGGAAGTTCTGGAATTAGCATTTTTTGGGGGCCTTCAGGTATTACCACAGTGAGATTATATATGTAATTGTTCTGAATTATCTTTCTGTATCAAACTTTAGAGGTGTTTAGAAGTTTCGCGTAAATAAAAATTCAAGGAATTAATCCATTGTTTTTCATCTTTGGTACTACAGGTGAAACTTGAAAAATTAGGATATCGTGCAAAAGTTCATTTATTTCAGTAATGCAACTTAAAAGGTGAAACTAATATATGAGATAGACTCATTACATGCAAAGCGAGATAGTTCAAGCCTTGATTTGTCATACTTTTGATGATTATGGCTTACAGCTCATGAAAACCCCAAATTCACAATCTCAGAAAATTAGAATATTGTGAAAAGGTTGAATATTCTAGGCTCAAAGTATCCCACTCTAATCAGCTAATTAAGCCATAACACCTGCAAAGGGTTCCTGAGCCTTTAAATGGTCTCTCAGTCTGGTTCAGTAGGAATCACAATCATGGGAAAGACTGCTGACCTGACAGTTGTGCAGAAAACCATCATTGACACCTTCCATAAGGAGGGAAAGCCTCAAGTAATTGCAAAAGAAGTTGGATGTTCCCAAAGTGCTATATCAAAGCACATTAATATAAAGTTATGTGGAAGGGAAAAGTGTGGAAGGAAAAGGTACACAAGCAGCAGGGATGACCGCAGCCTGGAGAGGATTGTCAGGAAAAGGCCATTCAAAAGTGTTGGGGACTTTCACAAGGAGTGGACTGAGGCTGGAGTCAGTGCATCAACAGCCACCACACACAGACGGATCCTGGACATGGGCTTAGAAATGTCGTATTCCTCTTGTCAAGCCGCTCCTGAACAACAAAGAACGTCAGAAGCGTCTTACCTGGGCTAAAGAAAAAAAGAACTGGTCTGTTGCTCAGTGGTCCAAAGTCCTCTTTTCTGATGAGAGCAACTTTTGCATCTCATTTGGAAACCAAGGACCCAGAGTCTGGAGGAAGAATGGAGAGGCACACACTGCAAGATGCTTGAAGTCCAGTGTGAAGTTTCCACAGTCTGTGTTGATTTGGGGAGCCATGTCATCTGCTGGTGTTGGTCCACTGTGCTTCATTAAGTCCAGGGTCAACGCAGCCATGTACCAGGAGATTTTGGAGCACTTCATGCTTCCTTCTGCAGACAAGCTTTATGGGGATGCTGACTTCATTTTCCAGCAGGACTTGGCACCTGCCCACACTGCCAAAAGTACGAAAACCTGGTTCAATGACCATGGGATTACTGTGCTTGATTGGCCAACAAACTCGCCTGACCTGAACCCATAGAGAATCTATGGGGCACTGCCAAGAGAAAGATGAGAGGCATGCGACCGAACAATGCAGAAGAGCTGAAGGCCGCTATTGAAGCATCCTGGTCTTCCATAACACCTTAGCAGTGCCACAGGCTGATAGCACCCATGCCACGCCGCATTAAGGTAGTAATTGATGCAAAAGGGGCCCAAACCAAGTACTTAGAACATATGCATGCTTATACTTTTCAGAGGTCCGATATTATTCTATGTACAATCCTTGTTTTATTGATTTCATGTAATAATCTAATTTTCTGAGATTGTGAATTTGGGGTTTTCATGAGCTGTACGCCATAATTATCAAAATTATGACAAATCAAGGCTTGAACTATCTCGCTTTGCATGTAATGAGTCTATCTCATATATTAGTTTCACCTTTTAAGTTGCATTACTGAAATAAATGAACTTTTGCATGATCTTCTAATTTTTCGAGTTTCACCTGTATATTGGATGTTGCTCATTGTCATCTTTCTTTAATCAACTTGTTTAAATAGAGGCAAATCAAATACTGTAGGTAATTTCAACCATTGTAGTTTAAAGAATACTCTTAAGGACCTAAAATAAAAAATTGCATGTATAGTAAATGTGTTTGAAAATTCTAAATATAGTTAGATGATTATAAATGTCTTCAAATTGCAGCAGTTTGCTGGTCAGATTCTTTTTGTAAAGTTATCTTTCTCTTTTCCCATAGGACCAAGTGGATCATTTGCTCTCTCTCAAAGTCAGAGTGAGCTCTTTCAATTCCAAGATGTCCGTTCAGGAGAGAAAAGCCATTCTTGCTGACTTGACAAGTGACCATCCTATGATAAAGCTGCTGTACATCACTCCAGAGATGGCAGCTTCTGCTTCTTTTCAGCCCTCCTTGGAGCGTCTAATATCTCAAAATCTTATCTCTTACCTGGTAGTTGATGAAGCTCACTGTGTTTCCCAGTGGGGGCATGACTTCCGACCGGACTATCTGCGTCTTGGCTCCTTGCGTTGTCGCATGCCCAATATATCATGCATAGCCCTGACAGCCACAGCTACTAAGCAAGTTCAGGAAGATATTATAGCCCTGCTGAAGCTAAAGCAGCCTGTTGCCACTTTCAGGACGCCTTGCTTCAGGCCCAATCTGTACTATGATGTGCAGTATAAAGACCTTTTAGCAGATCCCTATGAAAATCTGAAGGATTTCTGTCTGAAGTCTCTTGGACAGCAAAATGAATTAGGGGTGAGTGAAATCTCTCAAAAAAAGATTGTGGTTTATGGGTCTTCGGTAACTTACAACTATCATGATAGGACAAAACTTGGATTGAATCATATTTCCTTTGCTACTTGTTCAGAGAGAGGAATTCCCTGATAACATACATAAGACATCACATGCATCTGTTGAGAGATAACTAGGAACTCAGCTGTGAAATATACTTGTAGCTTCATGGATAATATCATTCTCCCTTGAGAGTGGAGACAGCAGCCAGCGTGGGTAGTGCCCATCCAATCAGCTTGAAGGACTGAGTCTGCCAATTATTCTTAGTCCCGCCCTTGTTGCCGGGCAGGCCAGCTTTTGACTCAGTCCTTCAGTGCTGGCTGGTGTGTGGGACTTCTCTCTAGCTTAAATTCTTTTATTCATATCTCTCGTGTTGGATTTCTGGTTTCTTTGACTTGGATTGTGTGACTGTGATCTATCTCGTCGATTTGGACACTAACTAATTATTCCGGCTGACCTTGGACTGCCTTTGACATCGAATTCGTGAGTTGCCTAGTTCTTCGTTTAACTTCGGTTTCCCCTGGCTTAGCCAGGGGCGTGGGGACGCCCTGGCCTTGATTTCCTCCCCAAGGAGGTTTTATTATCATCTGAGCTTCGAGGGATTTTTCCCCTGGATTGAGCTGCCTTCGTCTCCTCCGTTTTAGCCCAGTTTCGTTTCCCCTCAATTATCGGCAGTTCGGAGGGCGCGCTTCAGCCGCGCCGGCCATTTTGGATTCCGTTTTTCCCGCCGCTGAGGAGATCGCTGTTTCCTGCAACCTGCGCTCCCCCTGTTATTAATCCTTGTCGGCTGGGGCGAATTTCCCTCTCGGAGCGTTTCCTCCCCCAACCGCTCACCTGAAAACGATTTAAATTGCCTTTGAAGTGCTGCGGGCTAGTTAATCCACGGAGGAGCCTCGCAGCCTCGCCTCTCAGCTTCTGTGGCCTGTTTCTGCCTACCGCTTAATTATTTTAGCTGCCGATCTCTGCAGACTAATAAAATTGGTTAAAAACGTTGCAGGCGAAACGATTGCTACTGCGGAGCCTTGTGCCCCCGTTCTTTGCTTCTGTGGCCCTAATCCTTGTGCTTTATAATTTCTCATTGTGGAGCTTCACGCCCCCTTCTCCTGAGGCAATAATCAATTCTTTATACACTGCTCATCATTTGAATCCGGTGGAGCTTCGCGCCCCCTTCCCCTTACGTTGCACAGCCACAAGACGGTGGCCTTATCTGCCTGTTTATTTGATATGTTGAGTGCCTCCTCTTCAGCAACGCCTTAGCAATTCATTGGGCCTTTTTCTACTACCTCGTTTGTCGCTTGTGGAGTTTTTACGCTCCCTATCACATCTATTTGACTTTCTGCTGGTAACCTTGAGTGTCAATTTATCCGCTACTGCCTTATTGTGGAGTTCCTCTCGCTCCCTTCTGTCACATCAGAATCCAATTATCAAAGCGGTATCTGGTGTGTGGGGTCTTACTTAAAGGCCCCCCCCCCCCTTTTTTTCTGACATGCCTAAGGCCCTTTCTAAATCTAAGCACGGCCGGAAGGCTAGTGCAGGCGAAATTGGCCAATCAGACTCCACGTCTGTTACCCAGCAATCTCAATTAGAGGATCCAAGGCCTTCTTCCAGGTCTTCCCACCTCTCTCGATCTCAACACAAGACTACCAAACAGGGGGTATCCTCTTCTAGAGTGGAAAAACGCAGAGACAAAGTTTTAACCAGATTATGTGACAAGGCTTCCGCCCAGTTGCCTCCTTCTACTTCTCAATCAATTCCTGCTCCATCTGGTTCTTCTCCGGCAGTTGTACCTCGCTCCCCTACTCCTGACCAGCTGTCTCTTCAGGATTGTCCAGTGACTATCTCCGATGACAATCTGTGGGGCTCTGGCTCAGTTTCTCAACTTCCGGTTCCTGATCCGGCTATTGCTCAGATGGCTCCTCCTGCTGATCCTATTCCGGTCCGTCCTTTGGATTCAATCGTCTCTCCAGATCAGCTTCAACAATTGATCGAGGCGGCAGTTCAGAAGTCATTGACTGCCTGTCCAGGTTCTTCCAGCAGACATGGTTCAGTACGGGAGGCCTCTCCTATTCCATCGAACTGCAGTGACCAAGTCGGTTCTCATTCAGTCCGATCCGCTTCTCCTACCTGTTCTCACTACAGTCATCCTTCAGTTCTAGATGAGGAGGAGTATCCTGGTTCTGACCTGTCGGAGGATGAGAATCTTCCCCCGGACCAGCCGGCTTTCACAGGTCTTTTCCCTCAGGCCCTGTTCAAATCACTGTTGTTCAAGGCTGTTAATACGGCCCGTTTATCTTCTCCAAACGCTGACCCAGTCCCTCCTTCGACTTCCTCTGGATCTTTGGACCCCATGTTCGCGGAGCCCGCTAGGCCTATAACATCTGTCCCTACGCCTCCTCTGTTTCTGGATGTAGTGAAACGGCAGTGGGAGTCCCCAGCCGCTGCTCCTCTCCCCTCTTCAAACGACAAAAGGAACTTTCACGTTTCTCCGGACCTTGAGGCTCTACTTCAAATTCCTTCAATTGATGCCCCCGTTGCAGCTCTCCTTCCTAACTCTAATGTTCCGGGCGAACCCGACGAAGGTCTCCGTCCTGATGAATGTCGATCTGATCAGGTTCTTCAGAAGGCCTTTCAGAGCTCTGCTTGGGCGATTAGAGCTACCACTACTGCATCCTTCTTCAATCGGACAACATTGCTTTGGTTACGCCAATTACAAGAAAAGTTAGCACCTGGAGATACGCGTATCAGGCAGGACTTGAATAAAATTGTGGCTGCCATTCAATTTTCCGCCGATTCTACCCTGAATGCTGCCAGGTTTTCTTCTAAATCCTTGGCTTCGTCAGTCACGGCTCGTCGTTTGCTGTATCTCCGTCACTGGCAAGCGGATGCCAGACACAAGTGGCGCTTGGCATCAGTTCCTTTCAGGGGCACAAAGCTATTCGGGGACGCATTAGATCCCTTCCTCACTGAAACCAGGGATAAAAAGAAAGTGCTAGCAGCTGCTTACCGGAGAGGAGCGCCCCGTTTCTCACCTTACCCTCCTCGTACCTTTTCCCGAGGTACTGACGGGGGGCCCTCTTCTTCTTCGTCCTTCCCTTCCTTTAGGAGAGATGGGTCCTTTAGCAGACAGCGGGGTTCTTCTGACAGGTCATTCAGGGGGCGTTCCTTTAACTCCAGGCGGCCCTTTCGCGGGGGAGGAGGTCGTTTCGTCCGTCGCCATCGCTGATTGCATTCCGGATCCTCCCATTGGCGGTAGATTGGGCCTTTTTGCCGCTGTTTGGGAACAATCCACCTCGGACAAGTGGGTTCTCGCCACCTTGAAATCCGGGTTAGCCATCGAATTCATTGCCCCTCCCCCTCACACCTTTGTCTGCTGTCCGATTTCTCGCAATCCTGAAAAGAAGTCTCTTATGGACTCATCGGTTCAGCATCTACTGACTATCAAGGCTATTCATCCTGTCCCTCCGGGTCAGGAAGGCTTGGGATTCTATTCAAGGGTGTTCCTAGTCCCTAAGTCTTCGGGGGGGTGGCGTCCTATCCTGGACCTCAAACGATTAAACAGGTACGTCGTATACCGGAAATTTAAAATGCAATCATTGAAATCCATCCTGGCCGGTGTTCGACGAGGCGATCTCCTCTCCTCCATTGACCTAACTGAGGCCTACCTCCGTATCCCTATCCTTCCTTCCCATAGACGTTTTCTAAGGTTTTGTTATGGCGGAGCACATTACCAGTATAGGGCTCTCCCATTTGGCCTTTCCTCTGCCCCTCGCACCTTTACGAAGGTGCTGGCTGCTTTGGCGGCCCGACTCCGTCTTCTTTCAGTCCGTCTCTTGTGTTACCTAGATGATATTCTCATTTTGTCCCCTTCTGTTCAGCAGGCTGTCTTGGATATTCGTCTGACGGTTCAGACGTTAGCGGCTCACGGCTTCTCCGTTAATTTGGAGAAGAGTCACCTCTCCCCTTCCACTAGGCTAGTTCATTTGGGTGCCCTGATTGATTCTCTTCAGGGCAAGGTTTTTCTTTCTCCCGACAGACAGACTAGCCTGAGGCAGTTAGTCTCCAGGGTTGAGGGGAGTCGGGCGGTTTCACCCTTAGTCTTATCTCAGCTTCTAGGTAAGATGATTTCTGCGATAGCCATAGTTCCCTGGGCCCAGCTTCACGCCAGGGAGCTCCAGTGGTTTCTTTTGCCTTTGCAGAAGGCGGGCAGAGGCACTTCATCGAGACCGATTTCACTTCCTTCCACGGTCCGCAGATCTCTCCGGTGGTGGCGCTCCCCTGCCCTCACTGCGGGTTGCTTCTTCCTCGAGCCCTCGAGGGTGGTGGTGACGACGGATGCCAGTCTCCTGGGCTGGGGAGCCCATTGTCAAGGTCAACTGGCCCAAGGAACTTGGGCACCTTCGGAAGCTCGTCGTCCCATCAATTGGCTGGAGCTGAAAGCGGTCTTCCTTGCCCTAAAGTCATTCCGCCACTTGGTCTCCGGAGCTCATGTCCTCGTCCACACGGACAATGTCGCCGCCAAGGCACATTTGAACAAGCTGGGGGGCACCAGATCGAAGTCTCTTCTGGCCGTCGCAATCGCATTGGGACTCTGGTCAGAACGTCACCTGTGTTCCCTTCGGGCGGAACACATCTCCGGGGTGCAGAACGTTCAAGCGGACTGGTTGAGTCGCCGGCGGATAGACAATGCGGAATGGCGTCTCCACCCGCGCATTTTTCAGGAACTATCTCTTCGCTTCGGCCGTCCAGTGGTCGACCTGTTCGCGACTCACGAGAACGCTCAACTTCCGCTGTTCCTCTCTCGGTTTCCTCACCCTCGAGCAGCTGGCGTCGACGCTCTTCGGGCTCCATGGCCTTCGGGCCTCCTGTACGCCTTCCCTCCGATGGCCCTCCTTCCGAGGGTCATCCGCAAAATTCTATCCGAGCAAGCGGAAGTGATCCTTGTGGCACCTCATTGGCCCCGGAGGCCCTGGTTTGCGGACCTCGTGTCCCTATCGGTGACCCCATCGTGGCGCATCCCCCTCTCGGACGATATCCTATCGCAAGGTGCACTGATGCACCCGGACCCGGCCTGGCTCAATCTGACCGTCTGGAGGTTGAGCGGTGCACGTTGAGGGAGGTTCTCATTCCGGAGGACGTTGTCCATACCTTGTTGTCCTCCAGACGTCCTTCTACGGAACGCGTTTACTCGGCCACCTGGCGGATTTTCTGTAACTGGTGCAACCAGGTTGATGTGATGCCTCTACAACCATCTATTATTCATATTCTAATGTTTTTACAAAAGGGCCTCTCCCAGGGTCTCTCTTCTAACACTCTCCGCCGTCACATTGCAGCTTTATCTTCGGTACTTACCTGTGGTTCCCTGTCGTCCCTGGCCCAGCATCCCTTGATCCGCCGTTTTCTTCGGGGTGCAAGGAACTTGTGTCCCCCGACTCTTCACCGCTATCCTACCTGGAGTCTCCCCCTGGTCTTGCAATCTCTCACGGGTCCGCCATACGAACCACTTCGGACTACCAGTCTCAGACTTCTCACCTGCAAGGTTGCCTTCCTAGTGGCCATCACTTCGGCTCGTCGTATATCCGAGCTCGCCGCCTTGTCCACTCGTCCGGACCTTTGTGTTTTCCATGCTGACCGAGTAGTACTCCACTTGGATCCAACCTTTGTTCCGAAGGTCAACTCTGTGTTTCACCGTGCACAAGAACTTATCCTGCCTAATTTCTGCCCCCGGCCTACTCATCCTCGGGAACACCGTTGGCACACCCTCGATGTCCGGCGGGCATTGCGGATTTACCTGAAGAGAACGGCTCCCTTCCGACATTCGGAGTCTCTCTTTGTCTCCTTCTTACCTACCTCTCAAGGCGGTAAAGTCTCCTCTTCAACCATCGGTCGTTGGATTCGTCAGACTATTGCAGCGGCCTATGATGTTAGATCTCTGCCGCGTCCTTCACGTTTGACAGCTCACTCCACTCGCAGCGCAGCTACAACGGCCGCTTGGGCTACTCAGGCCTCTTTACTGGAAATCTGTAGAGCGGCCACGTGGACTTCGCCTAGCCCTTTCATCCGACACTACAAACTCGATCAGTTTGCGTCAGCCGAGGCTTCGTTTGGACGCCGGATTTTGCAAAGGGTTGTTGCCGGAGAGGACTCTTCGGTCCAGCATGATCCCCCCCTGACTCAGGGACAGTGAACTTGGGTATGTCCCACGCTGGCTGCTGTCTCCACTCTCAAGGGAGAAGGAGCGTTGGTCTTACCTGATACGTTCCTTCTCGTTGAGTGGAGACAGCAGCCAGACCCTCCCTTACTTCAAGCTGGACCTGTTGTGTTTCTTTCCTTCTTCCTGTCTTGGTGTCTCCTCTTCTCCCACACACCGAGTCTGTCTTCCAGTCTTCGCCAAAAGCTGGCCTGCCCGGCAACAAGGGCGGGACTAAGAATAATTGGCAGACTCAGTCCTTCAAGCTGATTGGATGGGCACTACCCACGCTGGCTGCTGTCTCCACTCAACGAGAAGGAACGTATCAGGTAAGACCAACGCTCCATCTGTAATAGGTTCAAAAGTATATAGTTCTAGTATATAAATCTATATACTAGATTTATTTCTGAGTAGACATGCGTGGGATAATTCTGTTGAAGTGACTTTTTTCAGAAAAACAAGTAAATGATAGAGTAGTATTACAGAAAGAATAATTATGTATAGTCATTGACTTACAACAGTTCATTTAGTGACCGTTCAAACTTACAGCGGCACTGAAAAAAGTGACTTATGACCATTTCTCATAATTACAACCTTTGTAGCATCCCCATGATCATGTGATCAAAATTCATGTGGTCAAAAGTGTGATCAAAAGTGGCTTGTTAACTGGTTCATACTTATGACCATTGCTGTGTCCCAAGGTCATCTTTTGCAGCCTTCTGACAAGGAGAGTCAAAGCCAGATTCACTTAACAGCTGGGTTACTAACTTATCAGCTGCAGTGATTAACTTAACAGTGGCAAGAAAGGTCATAAAATGGGGCAAAGTTCACTTAGCAGCTGTCTCACTTAGCAACAGAAATTTGTGTTTCTGTTCAATTGTGGCTCAGTTGTGGTTGTAAGTCAAAGACTGCCTGTGGTCATCTAAATTTTCTTCAGAGCTAGATCTCAACAGCCCTCAGCCATTGCCCACATTAACCTGGGCTACTGGAAGAGTTTCTTTCACAGCATATGGAGAACTATAATCCCACTCTCACAATATTATTTATAGATCTGCAGGAATAAAGGAGGGATATAAATAAGTACATAGGTGACATGTATCCAAAAGGCTCAAAAGAAAGAATCCAAATTCTGCAGATTTTATTTAGCAAGTATGAACTTTTTAGCAGCACATTGGAGTTTGAATTCCTGATTAGTTTAGCAGAGTCAGATTGGAGCAAAAGGACTGTACATGAAAATGCAGATTATATAAATATTGTATAGGAATATAAGATTATATAAACTTATATAAGTATTGCAGAATTCTAGCTTATTGTGGAGTAAACATAACCTGTGTCACCTCATGGGAAACAGAATAAATATAATATTACTTTATTCTTTTTTCCATAAGGTGATTCAAGTTGTATAGTCCATTGAATATTTTTAAAAGAAGGCTTTGAATATTTTTTAAGAGACAGTGAGGCATTGTGGTTAAGCTGTTGATCCCAGGTTCGTATCCAGGATCAATCATAGACATTCTTGGGCCATTCACTGTTTCTTAACCCAGTATACCCCACAGATTGTTACAGAAGACATCAGAGAAAAGGATGCTATGTATGTTACCTTGAGCTCCGAGAAAAAAAACAGGATATGAATCTAATAATAATTATTAATAATAATTATAGTATAAATACTAAATTAAAATTCAGAGTCATCCAAAGTTGGGCATCCATATAAATTTTTGAAATAAACATCTAAAAATATTTTGAAGTTGCAATTTCCAATTTCCTCTGCATATGTATAAATTTATAGATCTGTAGTTCAAACTGCAAGATCAATTTAAGGACATATCACTTTAGTCTGCAGTACTTTTGTCTGTTTATTTAAAATATTTGTATGCAGTGGTTATCACCAAGGACTGAAGATAAGTACCATTTGTTTAACATTGTTATAACTTTGAATGGTCACTGAATGAATGATTGTTAAGTGAGGACTGCTTGTATAATAATTCCTTTGGCGCTTCAGATCTGTAGTTTAGAAAACTTAGCTATTTCGAGAACTGTTCTGTCACGCTTGGCATCACTGAAGGTTACCAAGCTTTTTATTAAAGTCAACATAAGAAGGAAAGGGGGAAGAATGGCTTATGTGAGGTAATAGACACGAAAGAATATTACCACAGAGAAATTGACCTTTTATAATCAGGTGGGGAACTATGGCCCTTTGATGACTTATGGACTTCAACTCCCAGAATTCCTGAACCAGCCATGCTGGGAGTTGAAGCCCACAAGTCATAAAGGGGCCATAATACTCAACCTCTGATCCATATGGATGGCTGGAGTCAGAGAACATAAATATTGTCCACTGGTAAGTCTTTTTTATCTTGATTGTTCAGTGTAGCAGATACTGTTCAGACTTTTGTACAAGTTCTATTTGGATGAAGGAAAATCAAAAGGTTCATGAGAATATGTTGGCTGCTGTATAAAATATATATAGTGTTAACCCTAAGCCAAGTATATGAAAACTTATCTTTTAGCACCTCATATCTCTAGCTTAAGTGTTATTGCATTTCTTTATGATGCTAATGTTAGCTTCATTCTCTTTTCCTCTATGCAGGGATATCCTGGCTGTGGAATTATCTATTGCAGGATGAGAGATGCTTGTGAGCAAGTGTCTATTGAACTAAGCTATAGGGGAGTAAAAGCCAAGGCGTATCATGCAGGTAATGAAAGCTCTGTTTCTTTTTACTCCAAGCAATTATTTAATGCATACCAAAAAATGTTTCTTAGGATAAATGGATGGATAAAGACAAAGTCTGCTGATATTATACTATTGTCCTTTGTTTTTTCCTAAGGGCTGAAGCTGGTAGAGCGAACCTCTATTCAAAATGAATGGATGGAGGAAAAATTTCCAGTTATTGTTGCTACTATCAGTTTTGGAATGGGAGTTGACAAACCCAATGTCAGGTGTGTGCAAAATGATCACCAAGTAGCCAAACTGTTTGTGCTTTCAATATCAGTATATGTCTTTGCTCCTTTTCATTTAATAAGATAGGGGCGGGGGGGGGAAGGAATCATAAACTGGCCTACATTTATTGTTGTGGTTAGGTTGGCCTTTAATATGGACGTATTTAAAACTTTTAGATGTATCCCATGTAAAAATTATTATTGGTTTACATCACACAGATTCGTTGCACACTGGAATATTTCAAAATCGATGGCTGGATATTACCAAGAATCGGGAAGGGCAGGGAGAGATGGGAAGCCATCAAATTGTCGCCTTTATTACTCTCATACTGACAGAGAACAAATCTGTTTTCTCATCAAGAAAGAAATTACTACACTTCAGGTAGGGGCCTTGTGTGGTCTGGCTTCAGTGAATTCTTTCTTTGCCAAATCAACTGCTCATAACTAAGAATCCTTCATTTACTGTGTATAGTACTGTGTACTATAGCTCACATTTCAATGCTCACAAAAACCAGTTTAATTTTGTATTTGAATAAAACGGGCAAGATACAATATAGATTTTACTGCTTCCTCTTTGTGAAGGTAACAGTCATGTTCGTTAATATGCAGACAGCTTCTTACTAGTAACTGGCAGGTTTGCCAACACATAGTTGGCTCTTTTTATATACGTAGTCTCTTCTACTCATAAGTAATACATTGAAACTCATAATGGATTTTTTTTTTTGGTACAAAATTTCCATACTGTACTGGCTTACATTCCATTTCTCCCCTTAATACCACTATTGTCCATGTTTCCTCCAAAATCAGATTGCCTTTTTTAGCAATGACCTCACCAGTTTATTCCATATTCTGCACTTGAACAGAGACAGCGTAAGATATTTCAACTTTCTTTAAGTTTTATCAATTTCTTCAATAAACTAATTCTTCAGCTGTTTGCACAGAGTAGGATCTAGGAATTTGGTATTTTTTTTACAACTTGGACAAATCCCCACATTTTATTATGTCTAAGATTGACATGATCTCACACACTCAAAGGAGATAAGGGCTTAATCCCACCCCCCTTATGATATTAATCTTTTTAATCTTTTTCTTTTCTTTTTAAAAGAAAATTAATCTTTTTCTTATCTATGCTTCAATTGTTCATACATATCTCTGCAATCATCTTGTGAGTTTAGCAAAATAGTAGATGCCGGTAACCTAGTTTGCAAACATTTTCCATAAGTAATTGTACTGGTGACTTTTTGTCCAAATAGGATTATTTCTATAAACTCAAAGACACAAATAAAAATCAGAAACATCCAGCTTCTCTAACATTCTATTTTTTTTTTTTAATTTGATTTATATGCCGCCCTTCTCCGGAGACTCAGGGCGGCTTACAGTGCGTTAAGCAATAGCCTTCATACTTTTGTATATTTATACAAAGTCAGCTTATTGCCCCCACAATCTGGGTCCTCATTTTACCGACCTTAGAAAGGATGGAAGGCTGAGTCAACCTTGAGCCTTGGAGAGATTCGAACCAGCAGTAAATTGCAGGCAGCTGTGTTAATAACAGGGTGCTTTAAACCACTGTAGTACCAAGGCTCTTTTGCAGTCTGTATAATTGTTTCTATTTGCAGTCTGTATAATTGTTTCTACCATCCCATTTGTCATAGGACAGGTACACTTGTCAATAATCCTTTCAATTTATTCAGTACATCTTATATACTGGCATGCAGGGAAATTCCATGTCTTCTAACATCAGCTACCTTAATTGAGTTTTCAGAGTAGCCATTCTCAGAACAAATTTTGCTAAATAATTAGCCATACCTAAAAAACGCTGACAGTCTATTTTATCCTTTGGATTTTGCATGTGAACAATAGCTTCAATCTTTGTTTCACACCATTAGAAATAAGTTTATGTCAAATTTAATTTTTTGCTTATTTAACTTCAAATTTCTTTCTTCACGCCATTCCAGAGCTTAATTCTCTTACCTTGTAACTGCTTATCCTGATCCTATAGCAACATATTATAAATAAAACACAATACTCTTTCTAAACCTTCCAGAATTTGCAACTCCATACAGAATTTGTATTGCTATTGATACACCAAAAGGTGTATTGAATATACATAGCTTAGCATTTGCGTCATCTAATTGAATTTGCAAAATTCATTGCTTGATCTAGGGCAACAAACATTTTGTCTCCCACTAAATTAGTCATATAATTGCCCAATCTGGCAAGAATATGCTAAAAAATCTCTATTATGGGGGCATAAATACCTTTGCCTCCCCTTTGTTTCCTTGTTAGTATTCACAGTGATTTTCAGATTTCTCAACAACACTTGCAGGTTCTGCTTATCAGAGTGCTTATCTTCAGATTAGAATGAATTAAAAACTTATGTTACTTCCTCTCTAGCAACATGCATAATGAAGCTGCCTGTGGTTTCCCATTCTTTTTGTTGGCTCTACTTCCACATAGTACAGCTGAAATACAGCTTTGTTTCCATCTCCTTCATGTTTTTTATACATTTCCCAAAAACATATTTGAAGGCTATTGCTGTTTCATGGCTACATGGTACCATCCAAATTTTTTTCTGTTGATACTTTACATGCATTATGTTCCTTAGCACAACAAACATAGAAAATATACAGAAAGACAAATTCAGTGTGGAGGTAGGTCTAGCTTTAAAAAAAGTAAAGAGCCACATCCACACATATCTGGCTCCTCTTATTTATTCATAAATAATACGTTGTAATTTATAATAATACTGAGGAAAAAAATGAAGACTTATTTGCTACATTCTTATATGAAGAAGTATACCCATAAAGAGTATACTTTCAAATTGCTGCAGTACTTTTACAGGATTTAAATAAAATGCATATTTGTTTGTAGCATCATTACGCAACTAAGGATAATGTGACATTGTTGTGAATAAATGGTTTTCTGAATTCAGTGTTTTGGGACATAGCTTTGTTTATTCAGTTTTATGTTTCCTCAGGGGAAACGAGGTTCCTTGAAGGAGTCTGATAAAGCTGTGATGAAAAACTTTGAGGTTATGGTCGCCTTCTCTGAAAATCTTGTGTAAGTATGGATGGATACTCAGATGGGTTGGAAGCTTTCTCTTCTATATTATGTGTGTGTGTGTGTGTGTGTGTGTGTGTGTGTGTGTGTGTGTGTATAATGTAATATCAAGTAATTTTATTATTTGATAAGATGGGCAGGACTAAGGTTGGGCTGGTAGCACAAGAGGCCTGTGTTCTATCAGTTTTCTCTTCAGAAGATCTGTGAGAAACCTGCCCACTATATTACCATTTTTGGGAAGCTTCTCTTCTTTGAAAAAAAAAGAAGGTGTGAAGCCTAACAGCTTGAGGATGAAAAATTAAATTGGATGCTCCATAGTTACTGATGTTCCTTATTTAAAATAGTAGCTGCAATATTCAGTAATTAGTGTAGAAATTACAACCTGTCCAAAAATAAATTCTATATTTAAAATAGATTGTGCTGTTGGAGCCATGAGGAACTTACTTTTGCAGTAAGACAGTAATGTATAGGTGCTAAATATAGGAAAATATAGGTTTGTCTGTAGTCTAGTGTGCCATTGTTGGATTTCTAGAGGACATTTAATGTAGTATTACAGAGATGCCAGGCAATAATGGTGGGCAGGACTGAGACTCACATGTGGATAGAGAAGAGATATTTTCTTACTTAGTTTTGGGGGCTATAATTGAAGACTGGGGCTGTAATTGAGAGGTTCAAAATTGCATTCCACTAATTTGTTAGCTTCATCCATATTATGGTAGAATAAGAATAAAAACTGAACACTTTGTGATTATATAGTTGTATTTGCATAGTTATTTTGGCAATAGTTTGAGCTTGCCTTTGGCTTCTTCCAGGATTTTTTTCCAACTTTCCAATCTAGCCTACAACTTCAAATTTCAATAGAAAAGAATATGTTGCTTGAAGTTGAACTATGGAGTCCTAGGTGCTCTGTAAGTTTGGTTGTTTGCTTGCAGATATTTCATTACCAAATAGGTAACATAATCGGTGCTCGAATAGTTAGATAATGACATGTTTGCAAGCAAAGAACCAAATTCAAAGATCACCGAGGACTCCACAGCTTCTAATTTCCTGGTGGCTTTCCATCCAAATGCTGACCAAGTATTACACTGTTTTACTTTTTCAAGGTCAGCCCAAGTTGCCTACATGATGGTAACTGTTGTGGTAGAATAAGGTTACAAGAAGATAATAAAATTTTGTTTACATTATTCTTGAATAATTGTTGCTCATTGGTACTACAGTACTATATATCAAGTACTACAGTACTATATATCAAATAAATATATTTCATATATTTACTTGGTTTACTTCCATTCCAAGATTGAATAAGATTTGTAAGATGTGTTGATCTATTCTGAAATCAATTATTTTGGGGGACTTGCTACCTAAATCTTGGAATAGTAGGGGTTTATTTGTAAAGCTATTGGTGTTTCATTTATTTGGTACGTTTTCTTCCCAGGGCTTAAGGTAGAATATGATTCTGTATTCACCTTACCTTTTTTTGAGGCAGGTTACAATAAAAATAGGAAATACAATATCTGGGCAACATTACTCAGTATTCTGTGGCCAATTGTAGACTTGATGTCCCTGGTTTTAGTCAGGTGTTATGCCTACTCTGCCCCACTGCTTGAAAGGAATAGATTTTTCATACGCACATAGAAAAGATAATTGAAAAAAAAAAGAGACTTTTCATATACTTTAGAAAAGACAACATAAAGCAAATTGTCCTTCAGGGACTTGGACTGATCCTTAGCTAAGTACTTTTCATTAGGGCAGTGATTTGAATTAAAGAGCAAATCTGAATCAGCAGCTTCCTATATGTATACTTCACACCTGTTAGCAACACTTTGAAGCAACTGCATCTTTTCCTGGGGCCACCCAGCTGCCTTCTACAGCTGGCATGTAAACCCAGGAAAATTCACATTTGGCTTAAGGTATTTCAGGCAGTTGGTATGTTCATCTGTGGCTCAAATGGCATATCCTTTGAATTGTTGCCCAACCCTAGTTTTTATGGCAGTTGCCTGAATACTGTACAGATGAGAATGGAGATTACGCTTATAACATGCTTTTTCTTATCTCTATGACTGCTTTAGGTCATTTCTTTCCTCCTATTCTTGAGTGGTTCTAGGTTTCATATTGGCTGGGATAATATGTAGATTTGGCTACATATTGAATGAGTGGCAATTGAGGCCCATTAGAATGAGAAGAATGTTTTCATTGTTTCTTATGGAAATAATCCTAACTATCCATAATACCTCCAAATTGTTGGTGAAAATTTTCATGAAATCAACATTTGCCACGGCCCTGTGTAATATTCAGATGTAGCATCCAAGTACCCATGAAAGATAATCCATCTTGTGTATGTAAGAATTTGTACATATGCTGTATGAAAAATGTTACAGTATATTTACTTGGACAACAAAATAGATTGCATGAAGGATTAGGGCTATTCTTTATTTTAAATAACAGTTTGATTTTTTTTTTTATTCATATCATTGATTTTAGATGTAACAGATGTTTTAAACAGACCAACTGTCAGGTCCTTTCACACTTAAAAAATTTGCTAGAGAAAAAAGTTAAATAGATGATCTTCAGAAAAATTAGACATATTCTGAAGTATAAAACAGGCCTTTTGAAAGATTCAATGAAGATTTCTGAGACCATAGCCATTTATTGTTCAGTTTTCCATTGCAAATAGACACCACCCTTGCATCAAAAACACAGCAGAAACATGGTTGCTTATTGCAAACTTCACTTGGAGTCAGCCCTCAGATGCTAGTTGGCGTTGTGCTTTAGCAGCACCAGTTTCTTCTTTGATACATTCATTTCTAAATTCAAAAGATAAAACAGCAAGAAGCAACAGCTCTTTACACTGCTCAGTCACTCTGTAGTTAAAATACCGTAAAGGCAAGTGCTCTCATGATTTACCCAGAGCTTAGTTTCTCCTTTCAGTTGAACAGCAGCCAAAGATCACAGCAAACAAAATGAGGACAATGATGATAGTGAAGAATGAAACTATCACCACTAGTCCCCCAAGAACCCAATCATCCGTCAGAATCCTTGTTTTCATATCTTCTAGAAATTGAAAAGCTGCTTGCTTTGCAGTTGGCATTGTTTCCAGGCCCTGAAGAATGCAGGAAATAAAACATATATGTACACTTATTTAATTGACAATGTTTTAAAAAATTCTCCAGTCAAAGTTCTTTCCAGGCTAGCAATTCTCAAACAATACAGGTAGTCCTTAATTTACGACCAGTTGCTTAGCGACTGTTCATAGTTACAATGAACCTACCTTCAGGCTACTTACAATCCAGATTCTAACTTCCAACAATCAAAGCCCCTCATTGGTTATGCAAGCAAATTTTGGGCACTTGGCAACATGGCCGCATTTACAGCAAGTTACAGGTTCCCACAGTCACATGACTGCATTTTACAAAAGTTTTGCAAAAGACAAAAAGGCACTTAGTTTCAGTTTTCGGCAAAACCATGCCATAGCAAAAAAAATATGGATTTGCTTAATGACTGCAAAATTTGCACTTATAGCCACATTGTTCACTTAACGACCACTGCAAAAAAATGTTGTAAAATTGAGTCAGTCACGTGACTGCAACCATTACAACTTGCAACCATAATGGGTAGGCTCTGTTATGGTTATGTGTCGAGGGCAAACTGTAGAAGTGCTTAGAGATGGCTATAGGAGTAAGGTCTCTAGATATTATTCCCCACATCAAGGAGAAACCCAGATGGTTAAATTTATTATTTTATCCGAAGAAGAGAATATATTTAATTTGTTTCTGTTTGGAAATTGCTTCCAGATTTTGTGCTTTCAATTGGGGGGACGGGGGACGACTGATTTTGTTTTTGCTGATTAGATAGGTTTGTTGCTATAGAAATGGCGAGTATATACTGCTGTGTAAAAGTAAAAAGTTGAGGCTGTAATGTTATCTTCTGTGCTAAAGAGAGTTGGAAGTTGGTGCCTTTTTCTTGTCCCTCTTTACTCCATATTTTCTCCTTTCCCCTTCCCCCAGTTTTTTGCGAATTTTTTAATTTTTCTTTTTGTATTTTATAATTAGATAAACTAATAAAAATGTATGAAAAGAAAGGAATAAGGTCACTAAATAGAGGTAATTCTTGTTTTACGACCACGATTGGGATGGGAATTTTGTTTGTTGAACCAAGCAGTCATTAAGCAAGATACCCATGCGACTGCGCTCTACGGCCACATTTTAGACTCTCCCAGTTGCAGTCAATAAGTGATTCTGTGGGTCGTTTACTGGAGTGCGTGGTGCCTCAGGTGGTGGGGAAACCATATTGCCTAACAGTTCATGAAAATTTGCTGCAGGCTGGGAGGCTCTCACCTTCTTCCCACCACACCACATCTGGGAAGCCCAGGTCCTCTCCCTGCCCCATAACACTAGGGTCCATTTACCTTTGCATTCTTCTGACAGATGTACCCAGCCAACGCAAAGCACAACCTCCCTACCAGGACCACCTCATGTCATTCTGTAAGTGGGCTCCATTCTCGCGAAGATTTGGAAGGCTCCTTCTGCAAATCACATAATTTGGAGGAGGACCTTATGAACCACTGCAAGAATTATCACATTTGCCAGGCTAGGAAGGCTAGGAAAGCTAGCAAATATCATTCTGAAGGCATGTCATATTTTGCTAACATTCTCCTTCTGACAGCCAGGATATTTAATCTCGTTACTTGTCACATTCCGAGCTAAGCTGCAGAACATGTTGCCCCATAATATTGTGGTGATCACAACATACTTGTAACTGTTAAGATAGACTAAGGAAAAAATGAATTGAAATACTGTTCTGATTGCTTGCTAGTGTGGACATGTCTGATATAGACTGCCAAAAGTTGATTGGCTGCTAACTAAACTCTGCTACTATTTGAACTTATAATGTGAACACATGCTAACTGGTATTTCACATTGCACTAAACAATAATGTGTTTGGTTTTTTTGAATAAACCAATTCTGGTTTATTCAAAAAACCATGTTTAAACCAACTATGACATAGTATAAATCAGGCATTGTGATGTGTACTAGGATGTGTGAACAATCCAGCTATTTTTTTACCCTCCTTGCAAATAACAATAGTGAATTCAGGCTGTCAGCTGATATTCTTGGGCATAATTTTTCCTGTGTCTCACAAATGTTAATGTTCTAACTTTCAAACAGAAATTTCTCATATTTAGCATTTCAATTTTTAAGTGAAAGTGGCATGGCTAATTATCTTAGTGTGAAATGTCTTTTTTTTTTAAAAAAAAAAGGCAACATTTTAAAGCCACTTTCACTTTTACAGTAATTTCCCTGATTTGTTTTCATTGAAAAAACATATGAATTATGCATTGAATCAGCAAATGTAAAGTGAACTGATTAAAGACTGAAAATTAAACATTAGCTGGATTCAGCCTGTTTATAACTAGTCTTGCTTTCCAAATTTTGCCTTAAATCTGGTTTGGAATGAGAAGGGGCTAAGTAAAATGTAAATAATTTCTCTATTATAGGGGCATACTCAGTTTGAACGTTTGAAATGTTGTCATTTATCTGCACATTAGTGACTCCATTTACCTGAAGCTTCCTTATAGCACTACACATTTTATTTTAAAAGGATCTTTTATTTATTACTACATTCAGCTGATACAGATAGAAACAACAAAAAACTTTTCTAAAAATTCATCTGTGAGCTTTCAGGACTTTTTGGAATCTCAGAAGCATTTTCTATAAAATGATGATAACTTTGCCAACAGCAATTGCTTCAAATCCCAAATCCTTATAAAACAGCCATTTAGTTGTAATAATTTTAATACACTTGGAGAATACAAAAGCGAAAGAATTACTTTTTTCTTACCTTTGTATAGATTTTGTCTATACTAGATGTGGTTTGTTTCTGTGGAAGTCTACCAAATGCACTCCTGTCTTCTAAAAGACCTTATTTCACTTACGTGAATTGCAAATACAGAATATCTAATATAGGTATTTGTTCTTTAGTAAATCATTAATACACCAATAGATTATTTCTCCTCCAATATAGAAGTTTCTAGGGGACAGGTTTATTTGCAATTCTGTTGTTATAAATACTGCTGTAAACTTATTTTCGCCATGATTAATCTACCTCCAAAACTGAGTAGAATTTGTCATAACTACAAGAAAAAGCACTCTGGAAAAAATTCTAATTTGCTGGGAATTCCCCACCCCCATTTTTATATTTGTTGGGAAATAAATGTTGGTTCTGGGCTATCTATTTTCTTATGCATTATAAACGTACAATAAAAGTGGCATTTGCAGTAAAGATTCTGGATGAGAATGGAGAGACCCATATATTATTTATTTCTACGGTAGAAAGAAGTTGATTGTTTTATTAATTTTTCATCTAAAATCATTATAAATTTTCATACATAGGTTCCTTCTTGAGCAGGTAATTGTTGTTTATATTCTATAAAGAATATGGCAGTAATTTAGCTTTTGGTGCTGAATGTGTTTTATAATTTAATGTTAAAGCAATAAATATTTTATGGAAGTTTAAAGCCATAGTAATCCACCCAAAATGAAGGTATGAATGATGACAAATAAGTACACACTAGACTTTTCTTTCAGAAAGAAAGAATTAATTGTTTCACATGCCTTCATTGAAGATCGGTGGAACTAGTATTTCAAAAAAAAGTGCTTATTTTTTTTCCTTGCAAGGCCTTTCTCAATACAACACATACTTTTGTTTTCCCACCCCAAAAAATCTCTTTAACAGATTTGTGAGGAAAGCAGATGTGTCCAATAAAAGGTTGAATGCTTTCTCCTGGAAGACTTCCTCCCTAATCCTTAAAAACAATTATTTCGGCCTACCATTAGTTTCAGTTTCTTTTAATCCAGCATTTTTTTCCAGTGTAATACTTGGTTTAAATTTATTACAGTATTAATGGAGATTCAGGATATTGTACATTTTTTTTTCTGTAGCGCACTATCATTGTATTGTTGGAAATACTGGACAATGATTTGGCTATGGGATCATTTTGTGTGGCTAACTTGTTCTCTCCACAGTCTGGCAGCTGTGCAATTATAAAAAAGCAGCCATGTTTGAAATCAAGTTAATCTCTGTGTCTCTGTGATTGCTGAAGCTGTTTTCTTATTCCTGTCATTTGCACAAGGGAGTGACTTCTGAAACAGTGCACACCCAGAATAAAATATACTGGAGGCTTTTCATCACTCTTCATAGCATATAGAAATAGAACTTGCTGGCAGATGTTGCTGAAATGCAGCACCTTGCATCTCTCATCTTTACTTATGTTGACTGAGGTTCTTCCCAATTATAGTTCTAAATGTCTGGGTCATAAGTTTCTCATCCTTCCACTAAGAAAAACAACCTCAGTTGTACCTTAATGCAGCAAAACTTCATGACAACTCGGTTGGATGCTTGATAAATCTGGTTTTGCAATTTGGGATTGCAGAAATTTGGAAGAATTAAATATTTGCAGGCACAATATATAACTGGTACATTGCTCTAAGTTTTAGTCGAAAAGGTATACACTTTTAATTGAGGTCTGGCATATATATTCAGCATATTTAAAGTGCTGAACCAGAATAAGGGTTTATAAATCTATATTATTCAGAAATGTGGATTCATGGGATATAACTAGGTAACTATGAGATTATGTATTGTGGTAAAAGGTAACCCTATTTCATGTTAAATTTAGATTCAAATCGCTTTGGGGTAAATGAGATAGTTATCTATTACCACAATAGGAGTCTTAGCAGTCTAACTGTGGGTGATGACAAATATAGATAGTCCAATACCTCTAAAGAACAGCAGATATACCGTTATCCACCACCAACTTTTCTATTTCGATTTACACAGGTCAAGTGCCATTGTTTCTCTTTTGTGCACATGTAACCCTCTTTGAAATCGATTAAAGCAGAAAGTGTCTCTTTGGAAAGGGATTTATACTCTGTTGTAAGTTGTAGCTGGGTAGCTCATTCTTGGTTATGTTTTTGCTGTACCATTTAGCATAATGCTGTTGTCCAGCTGTTGCACTCATTTCCTGAGTGAAACCTCCTTTCGCTTGTACTCTGTCTGTTCTCTCTGTGTATAAATTCGCCTTAAAACACAGACTCCTAATGAAGGGAGCAAAGGATTAAACTGTAAACCTCACTGAATGATTGGAAGAGTTCCTGTTACCTCCTGTTGCCTTTTTTTCCCTTTGGTATATTTTAATTGCCTTAAATATAACATGAACCCACCACAACTATAAATTATTCATAAGAGTATTCATAGAGGACATATATAATTCTTAAGCCCAACATAAAGTCAAGTGATTCTTTTGTTCCCTTTCCTTTGAGTTAAGGATTTGTCATATACAAAGTTTAAACAGAAGACACCAAAACATTAAAAAAAAAAAAGGCAGTAATTTTTAAAGGCAGGAAACAATACAGCATTGTGAGCATTATCATATCCCTTCAGCTTTCCTTGGGTATACAGCAGCTACAGCATATGTACTTCCTTTGACAGTTGTTTATTCTTTTATTAAGGAGGGAAGGAAGACTAGAGAATTTGTTGCTGCTTTTCTTTGCTGTCTCTGAACTTGTTTGTCATCTTCAAGCCTGCATCATTTTCTGAATGCCTGACTTGCTTAGCTATCATGTCTCTGGTTAACTTAGCTTTAAATGGTTGAGCAGAGGGGAAACCATGCTTATTTAGACTTCATTCTGCTGAATGCTTGCACATATCTTGATCTCTCTGGGGCTTCCCCAGCTGTAATGTGGAAATGAAATCTGGTGTAACTTTCTTCTGCATGTTTGACCAGATTTTACACTTGGAATTTTAAAAATTGTATTGTCTTGATAGGTTGAGGAGAGAAAACTACTGCAAACGGTGCATTTTCAACATGTCAAAAGCCATGTCATAAAATAGAGTCCTATGTTCAGGTTCAATCTCTTTTTTCTTCTCTCTCTCTCTGTCTGTCTCTTACTTTATCTCCTCATTTACCATTATGTTCCATGGATTGGTATGCCATGTTGGAGTCGTTCCAAGTCTTCCCCCAACTTCTGTATTCTTTTTTAAATTCAGTTTTATAAATCATCTGCAGGTTGAACCTCAATCCTTTTGGCCTTCTCTTTTGGTTTTCCATCATAGAAGCAGCTGCAGCAAAAGCTGCAAGCTACAATCATCATTGAAAGCATCGTAACTGAAAGGTGAAAGGAGACAAAGAATATTGGTTTTGGAAATGGACCAGAAATTAGAACCAGTCCAGACCACTACGCAGTGAGTGTAAGCAGATGTAGTCCAGATGTAGATTTAGAAAGTAATTTCTGAGATTGCTTATAATGCCAACAAAATATTAGCTGATAAGAATTATTACTTTTGATATTCAAATTATAAATTGTGGCTTAATGTTTTTAATTGTTGAGCTTCTTGGGCTTAAAATTGTTGTAATGCTTTCTGCCACACTCAGTGAGGGGATATGGAGGGAAAGGTTGGTATAGCTGAATACCTGGTGCAGAAAAAGCATAAGCAAAGTGTTGTGTTTATACACATCCCACCCGTCTCCTCCTACATAGACATGAGGAAAATTTTAGAGGATTTAGCTTCACCTCCCCCAAACCCTGGTTTTTTCTCTTTCCTTTGCCACTGTAATAAATCTTCTCCTGGCCACACAGGAGAAGGGGTGGAATAGACTCAACAATTTGCTTAGATTTGTTCAGGCTTGTCTGCCAGCCTCTCCTTTTCACACTTTAACTTATTCTTCAGCTGCTTTTATTCAATGGTTAACTTCCTAAAAATTAATGGGCCTTAATTAAATGTTTATTTGTCCTGTGAACTCCTGATCTAGTTCGAAGCTGGTTCAAATATGCCCATGTTATTAGAATATTTCAGAAGTAAATATGTTCCATGGAAATATAATCACAGACATTTCATATTGCTCCACACAATCTGCTTTCTAGTGCTTCAAGTATCCCTTCTTTTTACACTGATAAATGTCCAGATAAAAACATGCATACTTCACTATAATGTTGAGATGTGCGAGTTTACAATTATAGGTAGTCCTCGCTTAGTAGCCACAATTGGAACTGGCAACTGGTCATTAAGCAAAGCGGTTGTTAAAGGAAATCATTCTTATGATGTTAGTTCACCTTTCTTTTTCTTTACAACCCAGCAAAGGTCATAAATGTGATGATTGGTTGTAAAGTTACTTTTTTGCCACTGTTGTAACTAGTAATAGCCATTAAACAAGGACTATCTATGCCTAGAGAGTGTTCATAACCTGGAACGAAAAATATACTAGCACAGTTCTTAAATCAAAAGCCTTATTCTCATCATTCTTACTTTGTTGATTGACCATGCTGATTTGGAATAGTAGGCATTGTGGCCCTGCATTTCTGAAGCCACTCAGTTGGAGAAGCTTAATTTAAATATTGTATACATGTTACCATATTGAAAAGCTTTGCTGTATTGCACTATACATAAAGACTTCAGACTATCCCATTCTAAATTAAAGCATTTAGTTCCTTCTGAACTTTATAGCCTTCTATAAATCAGAAAAGATTTAAATTACAGAATAAGCTTATGAAACAGCACTGTTTAGAGCTTCTATCAAACATATTAGTTGAGCCTGGATCTGTTGCAAGCATCAGGAAGCTGGATACTTACCAATGAATAAGATAATAATAAAAAAACAGACAATCTCCAGCGGGTCAGCTTTGTGTAGTCTCTGGAGCTTAAGCCATAATTTGTAACCAATAGCACTGAGCTCGTTCTGAAATTCTTTGAAGGACATTCTGCTGTTCTCAGTCCACAGCTTGCAGCACTGGGGTACAGAGAGGAAGGCAGAAGACAATGTGTTTTGCTTTAGTTTCAGCTTGTGAGCGCTAGGAGAAAGACCTGCCTTTTATTTGAAGCCAGCAAAAAGCAAGATCATTAACAAAACAAGTTTATCCGGGCTGTGCCCCAGGATTTTCAGACAGCTGCTTGGATGAAGGTTCTCCAAAGTTGCCCAAACATAAAAATACATTGAAAGCAATCAAATGCTAATTTGCATTTGTCTCATTTTAGAGTTGTAGCACGAGTGTAGCATCTCCTTGTATAGAGCCCAAACAATTAATCATGGGTATATGTATCTATTTAAAGTATGCGTGTTGTATCTTCATAGTACATTATCAGTGATGATATGATTTGTTCTATTTTGACAGCATACTGACAGTTAAGGGGGGTTTATAATTCACTTGCTAGCTTTTCTTGATCTTCCAGTGAGAAAATAATTCCATCTCACAGTAAAGCAAGCTTGGAGCAAATCCAACATGAAGTGCATCATATTGCCTTTCACATAATAAATGATGTTCTAAGTTCTATGTTCCATCTACTAAGAAGTATTTGTTTCTGTTCCAGAGTTGTTGGGGTTCTATCTGCTACATGGTACATTCTGAAACCTCTAGTCTAAGAGTGGCATCACTATTTCATTCTGAGTGTTCTGTTCAGTGTTTTATAGTATAACTCAGATTAGATATATTTTAAAACATAGCACAGAAATTATGAAGGTATAACATACCAGAAAATAATAAGAAAGGAACCACAAAGAAAACATCTGTTACAGGTTCATTCTTTTTGACCTAGCTACCAATTTGTTATGAGCTCTGTATTGCCTTTAAGCTGTTGAAAAAATGATAATGTAATAGCATGTAATATAATTAAAATCTCAAGGGAACTCCTTAACCTAAGGAATTAGACTAGCTCCAATTATAGTATTAATGGCATTGGACTTGGAAATGGATTTTGGCTACTGATGGTGGGGGGATCAGGCAGTTTGAGAAAATCACCCTGTCATTTGGGCAGGGTGATTCACAGAGTGTCCATTTACAAATCAAGGACAATGCTTCTTACCTCCCCTCGCACTTCAGAACAACTTGTTTTTTACCTGGGAAAAAGTGGGCATATTTCTAAACAAACGGTTGGTTATGTGGAGGTCCAGAGATGTAGTTTTGAATAAAGAAAATGCTTAACACCAATGCTTTAAAATGAGACTCAAGGAAGATTGGTGAATGTCAAAACAGGTGTCCATAAAATAGATTGCCTATAGACATCACATAGCCTACTTTTATATTTATGGGAGGTTCTTGTTATTTTACACCTTGTAATATATATTTTTATTTTAAATTATAAATGGTAAATGTATGTAGTCTTATACTCTATGTGTGTTGGCAGAAATATGGGAATAAAATTATAAATACCTCAAATCTATCACATTTGAATCAATAATTGCTAGCATTATGTCAAAATAAAGCTGATATTTTTTCTTAAGTATCAAATATAGGGTAGAACTTATGAATTAGAGAATTATTATCTAAGCAATGTGCTAAGATATTTAATTTAATAGCTGGAATAGTAAAGTGGATAATGGGCCAAAATACACAGTGGTAGTTGGTTGGTTGGAGAATGCATGAGTTCCTGCATGAGGCAATTTACATTATGATTGGTTGCTGGATGTAAAGGGGGACTTTCCCTTTTTCCCACCTTTTTGCTGTTTTGTGATTTACCATCGTGATGTGCCTGTGATGTGCCTGGCTATGTTATTTGTTGTAAATATATGTTAAATATATTTATTTATATAAAATTACAAGTTCGTGTAAGCATCTCTGACTTCATTTGGACACCTGCTGCACAATTCCCTAACAGGTTATGGGCCCAGAAGTTCCCTGACATGACAGTAGAAAATTTCTCTGATGTAAAAAAATTTTTGTGAGTCCTAGAAAGGTTGAGGATTATTGGCTTGTACAGACAGCATGAGGCTATGTTACAGGAATGGGAGGAGGATTTCCTTTGGCTCTTCTTTAGGATGAATTATCTCTCATGGAGCATAAAGATGGAGATGTTTCTGGAAAGGAGGATTTGTAGACTGTTGTAAGCAATCCTCCAGCAAAACTTAATGAGGAACAACAAAAGCATAATTTTGTGCTGGGAGGATAGTCAGGTAATACATGTGCGTGGGCTCACAACTGCTAGGGAATACTGCTTTGCATTACCCAGAATTTATGTAAGGAAGATGGCAAGCAGCAAGTAACTCTCACCAGAAAACTTTATAGAGCAAGGCTATATAGTCTGGAGAAAGTCTGTCAAATCACCTCCAGTTCATGAGGAAACCTTCCTAGAAGAGCAAGGAATGGTGTTTTCAGAAGCAGCACAAAGTGTATGGTGCTGTGTTCCCTTGATGATACATGGGACATGTTAGTAGCAAACCTGGAGTCCATGAAAAAGCATGATTTAACTGAGTTATATAACCAGGAGGCTTTTGGAAGAAGAACAGAAAAAATTAGTGAGAAACATTGCACCTGAGAGTAACAATAGTAATTTACAGCTCAGTCAAAAAAGATCTGCATTCCAGAGAAATAACAAGATGGGAGAGAAAATCTGTGTACTAAAAACGCTGCTTTATATGTGGATCCACTCAACATATCCAGAGAAATTGCCCAGTAAAAAGATTAAAAGAAACAAACAGAGAGACAGCACAACAATAGAAGAAGCGAGACACACAGATTTCTATGGTGAAGGCAAACAACAAAGGCATTCAAGACATTTGGTTGTTGGACAGTGGGGCAAAGAAGCATATTATAAACAACTTTTTCCAGTCTGGGTCCAGCTGCCCAGAAATATGTAAGCCTGGCAAATTGTAATCGTTCTTTTGTACAGGGGCAAGGAACAGTATATGTACCATGTATTGGTAAGTCGTTTGATAAGGTTTTGTGTACCAGATTTAGATCACAATTTGCTGAGTGTGTCTTGGAGAGTGGAGTTGAAGAATGAAGGATATGAGGTAATTTTTAGAAAGGGTACATGCAAAGTCATAAAGACTATCAGTGTGTGCACAAGATTTGAAACTGAACAATTTATGTTTTGAACCACAAGAAAACTAGTGGCAGTATGCAAACAATTTCTAATGAATCAAAGCTTAATGGCTGTGCACATTTATTGCACAGAAGACTGGATCATGCAAACTTTAAAGTATTACAGAAAATGCCTGACTTGAATGTAGAAGATTGTGACAACTATTTGGATTTTGCAAAGAAACCAAATCGAAAATAAACCCTGTCAGCAAAAGAAGTGATAGGAAATCTGACAGCATTTTTCAGTTAATACATACTGATTTAATTGGCCCTCTATCTCCATCAATGGGAGAGGCCAAATTTGCTTAGGTAATTGTTGATGATTTCTCAAGATATGAGTATTGTTTTTACTAAAAAGCAAAACAGAACTGTTCAGCAATTTAAGCAGTGGGTAATGTTCATAGACAGGAGGGTATGTCAACTACAAACAGACAGAGGAACAGAGTTCATGTCTAACATGTTTCAGCAGTGGCTGAGAAAGAAAGGCATAACCCATAGAAGAATGAATCTCTACACTCTGGCAAAGAATGGAATTGTTGAATGCAGAAATTGTGGGTTACAAACTATGAAAGATACATTATCACTATCAGGAATGAGTAAACTGTATTGGTGAAGCAATTTTAACTGCCAATTATTTGGTAATAGACTATGGAGTTCAACAATTAATGAAACTCCATATTACATGTTATATAAAAGACAACTATCCTTGGCACATTTAAGAATCTTTGGTGACAGTGCACGGGTGCACATTCCCAAGACAATGAGGAGGAAAGGACAGCCAAAGGCAAGGGATTAAATGAAGTTTATAGGTTATCAATCAGGATCAAAGGCATTTTTGTGTCCATCTGTAAATGTTATTATCTCACATTCTGCAAATTTTTCAGAACATGAGAATTGGGAAAAGATTCATGCCAGTACTGAAATTTTAATGCCTGTTAGTCAGAGGTCTCCAATGAATGAACATTCACACAGGCAAGTTAAACAGGAATCCAAGAGTAGTTTAGGATTTGTGTATAGCTCAGGGGAATGTTTGGAGAGTGAAATTCCAGTGAAACAGGAAGAGTTTATTCCAAGGACGGCTGAGAGAGCAAACAAAGATGTCCCTCCAGAAAGATTCACAGTTGATGAGGTAAAAAATATGTGACATCTTTTATGAGCCCTCAAATTACCAGGAAGTATTCAATTTACCTCTGGCAGAACAAAAGAAATGGAAAGAGGTTATAGATAAAGAAATGTTGCCTATGCAAAAACAAAGTTTTCACTCCAATGGGGTTACCAGAGAGAGAAAAAGCTGTTGGGTGCAGATAGGTATACAAAAAGAAACTTTTGATGAATGATGAAGTATAATATAAAGCAAGGTTAGTTGCTCAAAGCCTACATAACAACACTGGTTAAGAATTAAAAGAATACTACATTTAAAAGGAAACATGGATTTTGGATTGCATTTTCAACCATCAAATGAATTGGGAATTGAAATGTTTTGTAACCAGTGATTGGGCTAATGATGTACAAGATGGACAATGTCAAGATTTGTTGTAATGTTTGCAAATACACTATTGGTTGGAAATCTAGAAAACAGACTTCAGTTGCCATTTTCACAGCTGAGGAGGTTCATAGCATTGCCAGAATTGTGCTCAGAGTTAACATGGTATATACAATTGTTAAAGGATTTGGATATTGAAGTGAAAGGAGCTATACCAATATTTGAAGTAGCACAACATATATACAAATGGCAACAGGTGAGAGAGTAAAAACCAGAAGCAAGCATGTTGACATAAAATATTATGTCAGAAAAGCAGTGAAAGAAAATGTGATAGACCTAATTTATTGTCTATCAGAAAACAACTTAGCTGATTTCATGACAAAGCCATTGAGTATACAAAGACACAAAGATCTTGTGAAACAACTTGGTTTGAAAATTTGAAATTTGAAAACAGCAATTAACTATCTTCATACAAATCTTGAATTCTAAGCCATTCTTCAATCATGTATAAATACTTTTGCAAACTTAAGGATTTGAATTGGCAAAAAAATTAAGTGTTTAGGATTTAGTGTGAGAAAGTAAAAAGTGTGTCATTGCAAGGCTTAGGAAAAACTTGGAGCATATGATAATAAATAATGGTGGCTTGTGGGATTGCAGGTAAAGGAGACTTATTTTTTCCTAAATTGTACATATTGATATTTTTAAATGTAGACTTCCTTTGCAAAGTCTACTTTAGATGTAGATTTCCATTGCAGTACCTATTAAAGTAATGAAAAATTACTAGATTAACACAGTGAACTGAATATAAAGCATATTCCAGAAATGGATAATTTGTTAACATTAGCTTTTCCTTTTATAAATTATGGTTGTGGATTTGAGGAACTACTCTCACTCTCCACTTGGATGCAGCTTTTAAAGCCAAAATTATGGAGTTATTTCTTATTCCAAGCAAAATACATAATAAGCAATGCATTATTGTATACCATTTCATTAATAAACAATTCTTCATAGAAAAATCCAGTCACTTTAAAAACGAACTGTCCTTAAGCTTGCTTTCTTCTCTTTGAATGTTATTTTCCCCATTGAAATGCAATAGCAGTTCAGCTCATGCAAACATTCATTATAGTGTGAAGCAATCTTGATATTTTGTTTATATAATGGTATCCTATAATAAATGTTTATGGAGATTCTCAGTCATCCAGGTCATTGTTGTTCCAAATATGGTTTTTCAAGAGGCAACTGGACTTTCTAGTTTTTCTTTGAAGACAAAAGAACTCTAGAATGCAAATGACCAGCTGTCTGCAAGGAGTATAAATCCTTCCATTCCCCACCATCCAGCCGGAGCTGAAGAAGCTTCTTGAATGAGAAGCGAAACGTCTTCAAAGAAAAACCAGAAAGTCCAGTTGCTTCTTGAAAAACCACCTATGGGTATGCGATAGTAATGATTTTAAACTTGTTTTTCCTGTATGCTTTCCTGTCAGGTGGTAATGAATTGCAGATAGTTATATAGGTATCCTCAACCTTTAGGTTGTTTCTCCAAACCTTGATGATGGAGCAGACTTCTTTCTCCAGAATATGCTCTGTAGAAGGAATTTCTTAGACATTCTTCCAAGGAATATTCAGAAGTTCACTGTCCTTGGTAGCAGGTTATTGTTCCTAAGACTCTACTAAGTGAAATAACTATGTTTTGTGCAGAGCCCCTTCACCAACTTAATGTCAGCATCTGCTCCAGCTTTGTTTCATAAAGGCACTACTGGTTTGAGTGGGCAGTCCTGCAGGTGTCCAGATGCCAAATCATAAAGGGCTTTATAGGTTGAAAACAGTGCCCTAAATGGTACTCGAAAACCAATAGGCAACCAAGACAAGGTCTGGAAAGCCAAATGTTGTATATTCTAACCTTCAGAAGGCCAGAAGTTATGTGAGTCACTGTGTTTTGAACTAATTGTAATTTCTAAATAGCCTTTAAATATTGCCCCAACTGGAGTGCATCATAGTAGTCTAACTGGGTAGTGATGAGGTAATAATGAGTTACTGTACTGTAGCCAGGTTCTTCTACCCCAGGGTCAGGTCACAGCTGGCACAAAGCTATGTCCTTTTGGCAACAGCTTCCACCTGCTGTTCTAGCCAGAGCTGCAAATCCAGAAGGATCCCAAGTGGTGAGCCTGCTCTCTGCTAAATATTGCTTGCCCATTAAAGAGGCAATATCAGCAACTCTGACTTACTTGGATTCAGCTTCAGTGTGCTCACTCCCATCCGGACCTTGATTGCCTCCAGATACCAGGAAAGAATGACAACAGCATCTCCCTCACGACCTGAGGTGGTGATATACAGTTGGTTATTATGAGAGCACAGGTACTCCTTGCTTTATGACATTCGTTCAGTGACCATTCAGGACTTACCATAGCACTCTGTGGTATAGCACTTGTGGCAGTGATGGGGCTGAATTAAAACCTTGGGTGCAGTTCAAGTTGCTGGTTAACCCCTTAAAAACCTTATATGGCATGGGACCTGGTTATTTGCGGGAGTGCCTTTTCCTAAGACTGTCCCCCTGTCTCACTAGATCAAATTGGATGGCCATGCACCAGATCCCTTCCCTAAAATCTTTCTGTCTCCAAACTTGATCATTGCACAATTTGTTCATATCTTTGTGGATAATATCAAGTAAAGGATAACATATTGTACTCTCTGAAGGAGAAAATGGATGGCAAGTTATAAATTTCATGGAAGGTCCATGCTTTACATGGTTTGCTCTTCCAACAGAAGTTGTGGCAGCCATCACTATTGTTTTGTATCTTTTTGAAAGATGTACAATTTGCTTTTGTAAAGTATTATCCAGTTTCCTTGGTTAGGGCGAACAATGGAGGTACCAATAATAATATGATTTTGTTAATGCAATCACTGATTTTTATCCAGATGCTCTCTACTGTATCCCTATGTTCTTCCACTTAGATTGCTGATCTGATGTAGTTATTTTTTCACTCCTCCCATTTTATTACTATGGGAAAAATCTTCAACCTGCAGCATGAGAAGAACATGACTTGTTAAGGAGGCTGTAATAAGTTCTTGTAATGATAAGCATAGTACATTTATAGCTATCTGAATTAGGACACCAGTACTTTTGTACTCTTTTTGTATTTGTTGAAAAAAAAGTATGGTTGGTTGGCTGGCATTCCCATTTCTATCCAAATATCAGCAAGTCATGAGTAAAACAATCTCCTTCACACTGAATGCAATATTTTGAGAGCGCTGATTAGAACAAGTGATTAAGATTAATTTGACACTTTAAAAAATTATTTAAAGCTTTAGCTTTGGCATTTTTGCCTGCCTGCCAAATGGCAATTTCTGTATGTGACCTGTGAAATGAGAATGAGCAGAAGAAATTTTTCAAAAGACAATAATTGAATGATCTGAATAATTGTAGTGGTTTCTTCACCCAAAAGTTTACCAGGTTTCATTACCGACCAATCAGGATTTTATTTTGCTTTTATTGACAGTTGTTCTTCAGTCTGGCATTTGATTGCCTCTGTCAGTAAAGTATGCATAGTCAATCCACTACATGGGGAAAAATAGTTTTTTCTAGGAAAATGATCACATCAAACTCTCTGTATATATTTATGTTTAATTTTTTGGCTTATAATTTTACCTACTCCCACAGCTACCAATGGAACATGATACAGGTAGTCCTAGACTTACAATAATTTATTTAGTGATGTTCAAAGTTACAACATCACTGAAAAAAGTGATATATAAGCATTTTTCACACCTACAATTGTTGTAACATCCCCATGGTCATGTGATTTACATTCGGATGCTTGACAACTGACTCACATTTATGAGAGTTGCAGTGTCCAGGAGTCATGTAATTGTCTTTTATGACCTTCTGTCAAGCAAAGTCAATGGGGAAACAAAATTCACTTAACAACCATGTTATTAATTTAACAACTGCAGTGATTCACTTAACAAATGTGGCAAGAAAAGTCTTAAAATGGGGCAAAACTCATTTAACAAATTTCTCACTTAGCAACATAAATTTTGGGCTCAGTTGTGGTTGTAAGTTGAAGACTACCTGTACAGAACTGATTTTCTCAAATTCTCCTTCACTCTCCATTTTCTTTTAACCTGCACAATGACATGCAGATTGTTAGCTGAGCTCTCTGAGAACTGCAAACCCCTCTGATTGAACTGAGTAGCTTGCATGTGTGGTGAAGTATGGCTTCTTTTCTGTTATGATATTTATTCCACAAAAAAAGGCAAGTTTTTCATTCATGCATATGCAGGTCCCCTTTCTATGCTGCCAAAAATTTAAAGAGAGAGGAAACAGACTACTGGGGATCACACAGCCCAGGGGAAGGTGACTGTCTTTTTCTAAGGCACAGAATTAGTGGCTCCTGATGGAATCTAAGAATGACATTCTTCTCCAACGCGCAGCTTGGAGAATCCAAAGCTTCGGGTTGTTCAGTAGTTGATAGCCTACACTGAGTGTGTTCCTTTAAGAGATTTCTCTTCAGACACGCCCACTTGCTCAACAGAGTCCCAGTTTAGTTCACTCAGTTGAGCCTGTGACACTGTCTGAAAATTTCTCTGATTGCTATCTGAACTGTTCCAGAAACTTTGGATTCTCCAACTCCAGTCCTTTTGTTTGCCGGGTGGTGAGTCTGCCTGCTGCTTCAGGCAAGGCTGTCAGTGTTTTCCCATCTTACTGACGCCTGCCCTAGTGACTGTCCTCTTCAAACTGCCGCAGGTGTGTGTGGCAAAATCAGCCTTGCCCACACTGCCTTCCTTAACGTCTGGACTTTCTCCTTGGCGGCTTGAGACTGACGCCCTATGCTCAGCGGCGTCTCTCTCCTCTCCCCTTAATCGTCCTGGGGGCTTACGGGCGTTTGGATCACTTCTGAGTGATCGCACGCCGTCGGCATCGCTGGGATTATTACAGCCTCCTCCCCCTCGGACGCCTCTTCGCCGGAGCGATCCTCGAGCGCCGGAGCGCCCCACGTGCGCCCCTTAATTGCCGGAGCGCTCTTCTATCGACCTAAACAGCCGGGGAAGCGCTTCTGAGCCTTCGGCTTCCTCTACATCGGCTTTGCAGATTTCTGAGGGCTCTAGGCGTCGCCGCTTGAACTGTATTTCAAAGCGCGCGCCCTTTTTTCTTCCTGTTCGCCTCAGCGCTGGGAGCTGCGATCAGCGCAGCTCGCGCCCCTCAGCCTTCCTCCTCCCCCCACAAGGACTTTTCCTGACGCTTGGTCTCTGCCCTTGGCTAAATTTAATCGCCCGCTCAGGACTTGAAAGGGGGAACAGCCCTCCCATTCTTTCTGTCGCCCTCGCTCTACAAGCCCAGCTCGGCGCCATTTGCCTTACTCGAGGAGAGGAGTTACAACGGCTGTCAAATTCTGCCTGGTGACAGCCTCACGCATGCGCAGTGAGTTGTAGAGGCCGATCTTCTGCTTAATAGCATTGGGAGACCTACTAGCCTGTCTCTTTGGAGCAATTGGCTAGTTGCATTACCTCCCCCCCCCAACTCCTCCCCCCCCACCTCTCCTCCTAGAAAACTTACCTGCTAGCCCTTGGCTATCTTCATTTACTCCGTTGATCTTCAACTGCTTCCTGTAAAAAAAAAAAAAAAAAAAAAAAAAAAGAAATAATAATCAACAACTGTTTCCTCTATATCTATCTATATAACCACATAAATTAAATACTTACTGAATCTTCATCTTCCTCCTTCCAAAAAAAAAAAAAAGGAAAACAAGTTACAAGATGGCAGAACGTGCTCTCTCATCCGATCTGGAGGACAACAACAGCTCTCCCGAGCGCATTCACGACCAGGCCAAACAACGTAAACGGTCGCGTAAACGCGCCTCACATTCGTCTTCATCAGCTGCTCCACGCTCTAAAAAGACAAAACACTCATCAGCTGCAGACAAGGACGCCTCCAGGAGACACAAGGCTCTGGAGCGCCAGTTCGAGAAAGCGCGCAGCCAGTCAACACAAGCTGCTTTCGCACACTTACCGACGCCACTCTCGCCCGTTGTCGAAGCTACGGTCCAGCCCGTCCATCAGGCCCCTCAACAACCTTTGCAACCGTTGTATCAATCGCCAAACATGGAAGTTTTCCCTGAGGCGTTTTCGACACACTGCTTGGAACCGGTGGACCTCTCCTGTAGTGCCATTCTTCCTCGGCGGTCTCAGCCGGAGGCAACCTTTACTCCCACGGTGGCAGGCTTGCGCGCCACGGAGGCAGCTCCTCCACCTTCTCAGTATGATATTCAGCAGATCATCTCTGACACGGTAACCAGGACACTGGCAGCAACTTCTCAACAAGCTGCACCATATGGAGCCTGGCCTCAGCCACGTTTTCCTCCTCCTCCTCGGGCCCGGGACTCTCAACAGGTCCCTGCCCAGTATCAGGCTATGACGCATGAGTCCGAGATGTATCTGGACCATGGTCACCGCGAGGAGTCTTCTTCGGAGGAGGGAGAGTGCGACCCGTCGGATATGGACTTATCTGATGATGCAGATATGCCACCCGAAAAGCCAGCCTTCTCTGGGCTGTTTCGACCCTCGCTGTTCAAATCGCTCCTGCGCAAGGCCAAGTTGGCCACAAATATGGTTGACCCAGTCTCTCAAGTTGATCAACCCGGTACCTCTCAACAACATGAGGCCTTGTTCACGGCGCCTAAGGCGCAAGCGGACTTTATTCCATGTCCACAGCTTTTTTCGGAGGTGGTCCAACGATCCTGGACCACGCCCTCCTCCTTGCCCGCTCCTTCGGGACTAGACAAAAAGCTTTATTGCTCGGCGCCTAGTCTCCAAGATCTCCTTCAGTTACCGACTGTAGATGCGCCAGTGGCCAATCTGACGGCTTCCTCTGTATTTTCCAACGACGTCGCCGACGGTTTACGCTCAGAGGACCGAAAAGCTGAGTTTAACTTCCGACGTACTCACAATGCGACCGCATGGGCGGTTAAAGCAGCCACCTCTGCTTCCTTCTTCAGCCGCGCCTGCTTAATTTGGCTCCGTCAACTCCACGAGCGCCTTCCCTCTGCGGATTCACGCCTCCGCCAAGATGTCAACAAACTGGTGGCGGCTACCGAATATACGGCGGACGCCTCGCTCAACGCCGCGAAGTTTGCTTCGCGCGCCCTGGTGTCCTCCGTTACATCTCGCCGTTTATTATGGCTTAAAAATTGGAGAGCTGATGCCAAGTCTAGGTGGCGCCTCGCCTCAACTCCGTATAAGGGTTCCCGTCTTTTTGGAGAAGCCTTAGACCCCATCCTGGTCGAGGACAAGGATAAACGGAAGGTGATGCCATCCTCGTATAAGAGGGCAGATCGTAGACCATCGTCCTTCTTCACCAGGCAGCCCTTTCGGAACGACTCCGGCCCTTCGGGGTCCTTCTCCTCAAGGCCCTATTCTCAAGGATTCGACCGTTCCCTCGATAGATCCTCCTTCAGAGATCGTGGTCGAAAGGCCTCAGCACCCAAACGGCCATTTCGAGGTACAGGATCCCGTACCTTTCGAAGAGGGAAGTGACTACATCCATCTTCCCATTGGCGGCCGTCTGACTCATTTTCTTCCCCAGTGGGAGATCTCGACGTCGGACGCCTGGGTTCTCCAAACAATCCGTCTTGGCCTTACCCTGGAGTTCCGCTCCAGACCTCCCTCACACTTTGTCCAATGCCCTATTTCTCCCAACCTGGACAAGCGCCAGCTAATGGAGGCAGAAATCCACCACCTGCTTCAAATCCAAGCCATCGAACCGGTTCCCCACCATCATCGCGGGACCGGCTTCTATTCAATTTTCTTCCTGGTCCCCAAATCATCCGGGGGTCACAGGGGCATCCTAGACCTCAAAAGGCTGAACGAATTTATAGTATATCATCAGTTCAAAATGGAGTCCCTTCGATCAATTTTGGCTTCCATTCGACCATCGGACTGGATGACCTCGATCGATTTGAAGGAAGCGTACCTCCACGTTCCCATACGGCTGTCCCATCGTCGCTTCCTACGCTTTGCCTACAACAACAGGCATTACCAATACAGAGCAATGCCCTTCGGCCTCTCCTCCGCCCCAAGGACCTTTACAAAGCTCCTGGCAGCAGTGGCGGCCCATCTACGTCAACATCCGATCCGCCTCCACTGCTACTTGGACGATATCCTAGTGCTCTCCCCTTCTCCGGCCCGAGCATCCCGAGACCTAGCAGTGCTGTGTCGCTGCCTTCGTCATCATGGCTTCTCCCTCAACATCCCGAAGAGCCAATTGCAGCCCACTACTTGCATTCTCCATCTCGGGACATTAATAGACTCTGTAAGGGGCCAGGTGTTCCTGTCAACGGACCGGTGTTCCAGTCTCCAGTTATTAACATCCCAGGTCCTCTCCTCTCGGAAGGTGCCCTTACTGCTCCTGTCCCGCCTGCTCGGCAAAATGATTTCCTGCCTGTCTGTCGTCCCTTGGGCGAGGTTCCATTCACGTCAGCTCCAGTGGTTCCTCCTCCCCTTTCAGAGAGCCAGGAGAAGCAACTCTCCCACACAAGTTTTCCTCCCGCCAGAGGTCTCAAGGTCTCTCCTCTGGTGGTCCTCCCAGAGCCTACATCAGGGCAGCTACTTCCAGAATCTACAGCGCCTGGTAGTGACAACAGACGCCAGCCTGACGGGATGGGGAGGTCATCTTTTATCCCACGTTGCCCAGGGAACGTGGTCAGCAGAGGAGAGCCTCAACGGGATCAATTGGTTGGAACTCCGTGCGATCCGCCTCTCCCTCCAACGGTTCCAACGGATTGTGTCGGGGCACCATGTCCTGATACGCACGGACAATGTAACCGCAAAGGCGCACGTGAACCGCCAGGGGGGGACTCGCTCGGGTCCATTGATGGAGGAAACGACCCTACTGCTGATCTGGGCGGAAAAGCACGTCCTATCCCTTGTGGCGGAGCACATTGCCGGGACCGCGAACATCACAGCGGACTGGCTCAGCAGACAACACTTGGATCACGCCGAGTGGCGACTTCACCCAGATCTGTTCACCGAGATCGTCTGCAGATTCGGCACGCCTCTAATCGATCTATTTGCCAGCCGCGACAACACTCACCTACCCAGGTTCTTCACCCGGTACCAGTGCCCTCAGGCGGAGGGAGTCGACGCCCTCGCATCTCCCTGGCCCAGGGGTCTCCTCTATGCCTTTCCCCCTCTACCGCTCCTTCCTCGTCTGATCCGCAGGATAATAGCAGAGAGGGCAGACGTCGTTCTGGTCGCACCCCACTGGCCTCGGAGGTCCTGGTTTGCGGATCTGGTGGACCTGTCGGTGGCACGGCCGTGGAGGATTCCAGGGGACAGGATCGTTCTCAGCCAGGGGGTCATTCTGCACCCAGACCCGCAGTGGTTGCAGTTGACCGCCTGGCGCTTGAACGGATCTTGCTAAGGCGAGCCAACGTGCCTAGCAATACGATCCCCACGATTCAGGCGTCAAGACGGCCGTCAACATGCCGCATTTACAACGCAACCTGGAACTCCTTCTGCTCCTGGTGTGCTAAATTCCACCTGGATCCAACGTCTGCTTCTGTCCCCGAAGTGCTGGGATTCCTTCAGCGGGGCATGGACAAGCACCTTGCGCCTAACACTCTTCGTCGCCAAGTTGCTGCACTTAGTACGGTCCTTTCGACTTCTGCAAAGCTTCCTCTCTCCCAGGACCCGACGATTCGCGACTTTCTGCGAGGGGCATCCAACCTGCGCCCCCCTGTTATACATCGATACCCGACCTGGGATTTGACTCTGGTCCTTCAGGCCCTCATGCACCCTCCATTTGAGCCTCTCGCCTCAATCAGCCTCCGCTTTCTGACTCTTAAGGTGGCTTTTCTGGTCGCGATTACTTCGGCTCGCCGCGTATCCGAACTAGCTGCACTGTCTGTGAGAAGCGACCTTTGTATCTTCCACGCAAATCGCGTGGTATTGAGACTAGACCCCTCATTTCTGCCTAAAGTAAATTCCACATTCCATCGAGCCCAGGAATTGATCCTTCCGGACTTCTGCCCCGATCCTCGACATCCTCGGGAAGCAGACTGGCACCTCTTAGATGTCCGACGGGCCCTGCGCCGATATATTAAGCGGACTGAGCATTTCCGGAAATCTGAATCGCTCTTCATTTCCTTTCTGCCCGCTTCCATGGGCCGGAAGGTTTCTTCCACGACAATTGGGAGATGGATTAAATCCTGCATCTCTCGGGCTTATTCGGCTCGGAACAAACCGGTTCCGCAGAGAATTCTTCCACACTCCACCAGGAGCGCCGCCACTACGGCCGCCTGGGCCACTAATGCCTCCATTCCCGACATATGCAGGGCGGCTACCTGGTCATCCTTGAACCCCTTCATCAGGCACTACAAGGTGGATTCCTTTGCCTCGGCGGAGGCATCCTTCGGCCGCCGGGTGCTCCAAGCTGTATGCAACTCTTCAGACGACGTACAGCAGCCGGGTTCCCTCCCTGTATGAACTTGCTTGGGTAAATCCCGAAGCTTTGGATTCTCCAAGCTGCGCGTTGGAGAACGGACGTTGCTTACCTGAACGTCCCTTCTCGACGCGCAGCTGGAGAATCCAACCCACCCAGCTGGCTGCTGGACATTCCTTCCTGACGCTCTACTGCTCCTTACTTCGTGAACAAAACTGGGACTCTGTTGAGCAAGTGGGCGTGTCTGAAGAGAAATCTCTTAAAGGAACACACTCAGTGTAGGCTATCAACTACTGAACAACCCGAAGCTTTGGATTCTCCAGCTGCGCGTCGAGAAGGGACGTTCAGGTAAGCAACGTCTGTTTTATTAAAACTGCCAGTTGCTTATACTAAACAATTGGATGCGGGGAACCCATTGTTCATTTTCTCACCTTATGTACAAGAGCCTAACACAGTCTGGCTAGCTAGCTTAAAAGAGCCTTTCTTAAGGGTACTCCTTTGAACAAATCTTGTCTGTTGTAGGAAGTAGTTTGACAATGGGTCCGCTTTGGGAAAATAAGGAAAGCTCTTTTGATTAGGTAAAATTTGTACAGATGTTTTTGTATCTGTTTTTGTATGCACGTATTCCAGAATGCCTGTCCTGCCCTAACAACCTGAATTAGGGGATTATTATTTTTGCTTTTGACTCCTCAAGAAGCAGCACTGGATAACAAATCAGCAGGTTAAGGTCATATGCATACATTCAGATCTTTATTGAGGTGTTTGTACAATGGTCTGAGAGTGCTTTAGCCCATTGTTTTAAAGTGCTGTTTCTTAAAGTGAATGCAGTGATACAGATATTCCAGAAGATTTTCATGAAAAGGATCAAGTCCAAATACTTACAGAAATAAAGGAAAATTCTGTTTTGTCTTAATGTTTCATCTAGGTATTGTTCAAAGTTTTTGTAAAGTGAATGACATACTATGCTAGCCTGTTGTTGTGCCTAGCACTGATAAAAGCTACTTGGTAGTTGTGTTTAAGAGCAGCAACTTTAAAATGTGGGGATTCCAGCTTGCTGGCAACAGAATTCTGGGAGTTGAAGTCCACACATCTTAAAAGTTGCTGAGCCTGAAAAATACCGCTTTAGAAGACCAAGAGGCCTCTTTATTACATGACAGCTGGCAATGCAAGCAAGGGTTCTTATGTGGAAGACATGTGTTTTAAATTGCATGTTTCCTTTTAGCTGCTGCATACATTTCTGGCCAAATGTTGGATGCTTTTCTCTTCTTTTGGCCACAGAATGTTGGACTGTTTTTCCTCCCTGTCTTTTAGCCTTCTCTGGAATCTTCTTTTTTATTTAGCCTTCCTTCCATTCTCTGTTTTCAGCTAATAGCAAGAGGTCTAGCTAGAGAGAGACAATAGTAATTCTCCTACTTAATTAATAATTTAATAGTAATTTAATTATCTCCTTGCTGAACGTTCTAAATGCATTGCAAAACAGATTAGCAAAAAAACAAAAAACAAAAAAAAAAAAAAAACCTAAGATCAGTTGGCTCTACTTTGAACCTCAATTTGTATCAAAAGTTTAAGGTGAGTTAGGGAATTCTGGAAAAGTTCCTATTGTGGAGAATTTAGCTTGAGGCTTTTCTTTCCATCAAGACTGTAGACTTCTTTGAATCTTTATGCTGTATTGCCACCCAGAAGTGATTGCAGAACCATTATATCAGTAGTTTGATCTAATTAGCTTCATGTACAAAGAAAAAAAAGGGTGGGATTTGGTTAACTTTTATCTCCACCAACAAAAAGTGACTAAAGTATTTCAGTAAGACAGATCCTTACTGAAGCAAACCTGCTTTCTGGTGTGTTTGAGCAAATTGTCTATTTTTAAGCACAGAGACCTTATATGGTTAAAATGATCCTCTCCACAATGTCTGAGTCCTGTAACGGTATTATTCAATTATTTCTTATGTTGTCACATACCTTATGATCAAGAGTCAGAAGATTTTAGACTGTGAGTTACCCCATATTACACAGTTTTCTAAACCAGGATTAAGGGTGACATAGAGTTTTAAACCTCCAATTTTTTCTCTATGTTGTTGCATATTTAGAAAAAGCTAATACAAAAGATAGTTTGGAAGCCTATATTGCCAACACCCAAAATGAGAAAAACTTTAGTTTTTAGTCCTAGATTGTTATGGAAGAACGATTAACGAATGGAAAATTTATGCAGAAAAAGTAGAGGCAATAATGGCAAGAAACTTAAATAACTAACCTATGCAGATGGAATTATTTATTATTTTGTACCCCACTCTATATTTTTGCAAATAATTCAAGATGGTGATCATATCCAGCATACCATTTTCATATTTTCCCCACAACAACATTGAACATTTAGCTGACAGAAAAAGATTTCTAAGGACAAATTTTACTCACACAAATCTGTTTAAAGATTAAGATATTCCTCAAAGAGTTTTCCATTGATCTCTATCCCTTTGGAAGTGAAAGGAATATTAACTACAAATACGGTCTTTTCTTCATATGAGAGCTTGCCACTGAAATGTTTTGTATTGATGGAGAAAAAAACCCTGGTTTTGTAGGCGTAATAAGCTTCTCAGATATTTAAGTTTTCACTTGTTCCAATTCTAATGTGTTAGTTTTAGCTTTGCTTTTATTATATTCATCATTAACATCTTTAAATGGAAGGATGAGATATAATATAAATAACATACAGAACTGCTTTGTTCTGTTGTGTATTTGATATGAAGTGCCCCTTTCTAACTAAATGTAGTGTGGCAACTGTTGCCTCTGTTTTTATAGACTTCTGGATCTGTTTGTTTTGTTTGGGACTGCTGTTACAAACTGTCTTGAAGTCGCATCTGATGCCAAATTCCTAAGAAAGCCTGTTGTTTTTTAATTTCTGCAGTTTAGCTGCTTGGGCCTCTCATTTTTTAAAATTAATCTCCCTATAACTCTTTAGATCTTGGAGAAAATTACTATCTCTCAATTAGTTTTTACATTTTGAAAATCAGTTTTGGAAGTCCTCAAACTAGGATTCGGATTATATACAGTTAGCCCTCTGCCACAACTGATTATTAAATTTTTAGACAATAACTTCTGTGTAGGTGCTTAAAATCTATAGTTGAAAGGTGAAGCATGTACTAGTTGTTGGTATTAGCTGGAAGCTGATAATATAATGTGCTGGTGAAGTCAGGCTTGCATAGAAACGGAAAGAAAATATCAAATTGTACTTCCGTGTTCCTTTATAAAAACATTTTTCCTTTCCACAAGTCACCCCAATTTTCTCACAATTTGTTTTCTTGGACAAAAGCTCTTCAGATTTAAAGCTCTCTTTAAATCTTTTAAGGATGATAGCCTGTTACAGTTAAAATAATTGTGTATGTTATTGTATCTTGAAGGGTAACAAACGTATTGCAACATATGCGCTTGTAGGTTGGAGGTCTCTATATGTATATATTTAGAAAATGTATATGCTGCCAACTAGATTGATGCCTTTGGCCAATTTACAGGATGCAGTAGTAACATATACTAACAAAACTTGTTACAAGCAAAACATGAAATCAGCTTCAAAAATATTTTACATTAAGAAATGTAATATAAATATGTATAATCCTAAAAATAGGATAAAGAAAAAAATTAATTTATAATATTAGATCAAGCCAATCAATGCATGTTTGGCTGCTTCCAAATACAGATCTTTCTTAGTGAACAGTAAAATGAACATTTAGTTAATGTGAGGTGAGTACCCATGTTCATTTATTAGCACAAAGTAAATGAAAGAACAACCATATTTTTTATTGTACAGTGGTCTGTGCCAAGATTTCTTTAGGTCAAATTTACTGTGGAATTTAACAGAGCTTTACGCTGGTCTTTTGAAGAGTTTTGGAGGAATCTTACAAATTATCTACAATGTTTGGAATGTCATCCTACAAGTTTCATTTTTTTCTTACACAGAAATTTGCCAATCCAGACAAGTTAGAGGCAGGAGTATTGGCATATTGGCGGATGAGTATTAGCAGATATGTCATGCTTTTGAATATGCAGATAGGCAAAACATTAATATTACTGTTCATTTTGGAACTGAATTTGTTCCTTATTGTAACTCCCTTATGTAGCCCATTGTGACCATGTCACTAATTGATCCGGTTGCTTTTTAAAAAAATACCTGCATTATTCAAACACCACACTAATCTAGTCATTGCTTCTTAATAAATAAGCTCGGATTTCCATAAAATACCAATCTATTTTGAAATTATACTCTGCTTAAGCTATTCATGCTTCAAAAGATATTTGAAAGAAGTGTTCCGTCCTCAAACAAGCACAGCATCTCGAGCAGTCCAAACCTAAGATAAAGATGTCACTGTTTTAAAGAATATTACTAAATTTAGTGCAACTCTTAGAGCAGCTGAAACTTTTCCCTTTACATTGTCAACACAATAACAATAATAAATTACACATCAACATAAATTCACATAGAATGCCTTGATAACTGACTTTGTTAAAAGGTATTTATGCAGCTGTTTCCTTCAGACACTGCTGGAGAGTGAAGTGAAAGCATAAAAATTTTTGATATTTTTTCCACTACTTGGTATAATGACCAATTCTGTGAGTCAAATTTCAGCGATTGTGCAACAGCAATAGAGCTCTCTTCCTGAAGACAAAAATTTCACCCTCTCAGAAAAAAGTGCTACAGTAATAACAATTAGCAAGTTCCAAAGTATTCCTTCAACATCTATAGTTGATTGTCAGAAAATGCCTTACGGATCAAGACTGGGAAACTCCTTAAAATATTTCTTAAATTCTTGTTCATAATAGCATTTAATTTGTGTAGGATAATGCATACATTTCAAACTAGCAAGGAATCTATGTTACTTTAACTTGCATCAATAACTATGGGTGCTCAAGTATTTTTCCTGTTACCAATTTAAGTTCTCGGTGCTGAGTTACTAAGAAATAAGAATACAAGGGAACATGCAGAAACAGATCTGTTAACACACTTTTCCTGCAGTGCAACTTTGCCAGCCCAGCAAAAAGCCTTTATCTCCCCACCCTGCACTCCCCTGCCCCGGTGTGTCCTTTTTACACACTTTCCTCTCCATTTACAAACACTTACGTTGAACTGTAAGTTGAACAGATCAGTCTTCCTCTGTGGTTCTGTTTGAGAAGAGCTTTTCTCCAGTGGCGTTGAAGAACTTTGTTTTCTCTGTCCTTTGTATTTTTGTGTCACTGCCCTTTCATGTCAGCTCCCGTTGCATTTTTGATTCTCAACGCATATCTCCCTCCTCTGTTTCTCTTATCCTTGTTACTGACAGCCAGCTGCTTTCTCTGCCTGCCTGCGTGTGCGTGCGTACATGCGTGCTGGCACTCTTTCTTTTTGTTGTTAGTATCCTGGAGATGTAAAGTTTCATATTACATACTCACCAAGAAGGGAAAAAAACACAACTGAAGTCTCACTATTGCCACAAGGCAATCAAGAGTTGTTACAACTTTTTGTGCAACTATTGATTGCATCTAAGAAATTTCTTCAGCTCTTTTCTCACACTGTCTGGGCAACTCTTAAGTTCTTTTCCACATCACTGGAGACTGCTAATTTTGTGATGGGTGTTAGAAAAAGAATGATTTGCTCTTAGCAAAATCAACAGAATGGAAGAGATAACCGAAAGGCTCTTCCTCAACAGATACCAGAAGATCTTTGCAGGCTTATTTTTCTCCTGTGAAATACTCCATGAAAAAGAATCAAAAGACCCAGTTTATACAATGGCTGTGCCCCCCCCCAATGGGAAGAGAGGTTTTGAGAAGAACTGTTAATACATGGAAGATACAAGTGGAAGCATGTGCACTTCCAGGGCAGTGGGCAGGGCAGGGCAGGGTAGGGTAGGCTGGGGAGGAAGATGGATGGATGGATGGATGGATGGATGGATGGATGGACGGACAGACAGACAAGGATGGATGGAGGGATGGATGGATAGATAGTTAGTTAGATATTCTGATTCCATGCTATTCCTTGCAAGAAAGAGAGCAGCTTCTCTGATTTCCATTTTTCTTCTTTTTCTTCCTCCTCCTCCTCCCTTCCCCCACATCCTCTGCCTCAATTTAGCACTTTGCAGAGAGTTGGCTGCTCTAAGGTCATGAATAAAGTATTCCAAAGAAAGCTGCTCTGACTATTCTAAGAAAGACCATCAGCCCCTTCCAGCCAAGAAACCAACTGGCAACTTGGCCAGTTCTTGTAACTCTGCCAGAGATTGACCTTTTGACTTGAACCTGTAACTCCATTGCCTCAACCACTAATTAAAAACATTGCCTGCATTTTTATTAACTAGTATCATTTTAAAGATGAGAATACGGCTTTAGTTGTACATACTGAGTTCTTTTCTGTTACCTTGGAAGCCCTGCGGGAGTGCTAATAATTAAAAAACAAAGTCTCCTTCCTGGCGTAACCAAATTATATTTTGTTCTTTTCCTTTTCTGGAGAGAAAAAAAAAATGGGACTGCCAAAGACCCTTGGCATTTCCAGCTGGGTAATGCTAGCAATTGCTAGAAGGGCATGAAGAAAAAAAATTCAACCGGATAATCTTTCATTGGTTGTGAAAAGAGGCTTTCTTTTAGTCCAAGAGCAGTGTGAGTCAGTGTCACTTTGCAGAACTGATAAGGGTAGCTTTGTAGCATTTTTTTTTCTCTTCTCCATCCTAACTTTTTGTATTCAGAGATTTTAAGCCACCAGCTGACTATCTGACACAGATTCAGCTTTCTCAACCGGATGGGTACTAAGTGTTAGCACAAACAGGTGATTGTTTTATCTGTACATTTGCTGAAATAGTCCTGACTCTTGCAAAGTTTTACTCCTTCCTCCTAGAATTTAATGGGGAAATGCCTCAAAAGGCATTTTTTAAAATGCCATAAAAATACTCTGCTACTTGTGGTTCATATCTTTCCAGCATAAGCCTGCTTTCAAATGGAAGATGTTTTGGTTTTCGTATTATTTGGAATAAGGAAAAATGAACTCCTTAGGATATTGTACCTATCATTGGAAATAAACTGAAGCCTACATTCCTTTGGTAATGCAGAATGAGACAAAATATATATTCAGTTTATATGTTTATTTTCAATTTCACTCTCGGTTTTTTCTCGTTCCAGACAAACTTATTCACTCTGCTTTGCCATTCTTTCAGTTGTTTATCACTTTTAAGCACCGGAATCATTTGAAACAAAAAAAGAAATCTTGGCAAAATATTCATCTTAACTGCTGCTATTCTTCCAAGTAAAGACAGCTGCAGTTTATATGTTTATAACTGCAATTGTGGCATGCTTGGAAATTAATACAGTAGGAAAAAAATAAGCTTTTGAAAGTCTCTATTAAATAGTAATTTCCATCTCATGAAGAGCCTGTGCTAAATGGCAAGGATGGAAAGGAGAATGTTGGTTCATTGGCATTCATTCTATTTATTTTTTTAATGTTGTCAACAGAAATAGATTATCCTTCTCCCAAAGGTATCTTTTAGCTCAGTCAACAAGGACTGCTTTTTATTGACCTTCTATGGTCTGTACACAGAGTTCCATTCATCCAGCCAGTTAGGTAGTTGCTCTAACATGAACAGCATACAGCATATTTTTCCATTTGATACTCTGCCCAATAACATTTATAAAAACATGTATGAAGGAAAAGGTTAATATGAATCAACCCTAAAACAAGACCTCATTGTAATTTTAAATGCCTGTGGTTTTGATGTGTTATAACTGCCTTTATAACTTCTGGTTAGAGACTAGTAGGAGAGGTTGTCAACAGATCATTAAGGTTACCAAGCTGTATACTCAAATTATCTCAAAATAGAAGTCTAGCACTTTTCAGTAGTCTAGAAAGCATGGTAAGCAAATAATGCTCTTCGTGTCCCCGTGTCCTTATCCTGTGAGTATTTTTAATTTGGCTACCTTCAGACGGTCTCTGAACTTTCCAAACCACTATAAGAAAAGCGTTTTCTCTGTTTCCTTTCCTTTTCCCCGATCTAACATTGCTTCTTTTTTGGCTGTTAGTTGTCGCCATGCTGCCATAGCCAACTACTTTGGAGATGATGTTCCCCAATGTAACAGAAGCTGTGATTACTGTAAGAATCCAGCAGCAGTGAAGAAGCAAGTAGAAGCATTACAGCATAGCACCAAAAGTTGGAGTAGAACCTATATTGGACCTTCTGCTTCATCTTGGAATGCCTGTGACCCTGAGCTTTATGGAGGAGGAAAGCGAGGCTGTGGTGGCTTTGAAAGGTAGGTCTGCATTAACTAATTCGGAAGAAGCATTTTTTTTTTGGCCAAATAAGAACTGCTCTTCTTCCCCGCCCCGCCCCCCCCCCTTTTTGTGTGTGTGTGTGTGTGTGTGTGATTTTGATGATTCTCCTGACTAAGGAGGACAGAAGTTGAGAATTTTTTCTGCGTAAGTGAACTGAAGTGATGATCTCAAAAACCACAGCTTCTTCATGAATCTGCCACCTCAATAGATTGCACAATTACTATTTGTAGCTCAGTTTGGAAGTCAAAAGCATCAAGAATAAGGAGGATAAGAAGTATATGTGGGTTTAAATTGTTACAGAAATGCTTTTACATGTTTAAATGTAGTTATGCAATTCTCTTAATACAAATGTAAAACTGGATCTCAGAATGCATTGAGTTGTGTAAACCTGTTGCAAATAAAAGCTGCTGTTCTCCCTTGTGGGGCTGCACAGTTTTTCTGCCTTATTTCTATTTCCTTGCTTAAGGGAAGGCTGCAGGCCTTAAAAACAAATAGGGAGATGCAACATGTCTATGTGGTAGGATAATATTCTCCTGCACTTGCTTCCCAAATTGACTTTTAAGTTAGAGTTAGGGTTAGGGTTAACCCTCAAAAATGTTCAGAAAAAAATGACAGTTTTCTTAGAACAATCTGCCAACTGTTGTTGGTAAAAAGATTTTTTCATAATTTCTGTTGGAAAATTAAGCATACATTCGGCATCACTTTCTTCCTGTGAATGAGAATAAGATCCAAGTGTTTATCTTAACAGCTTATTCTAATATTTATTTTTAATCTTTGCAGCATACTAGATGAAAGTTAAGGGCATTTTCTTACATTACATAGTTATACAAAATTATTTACATTGTATTTGTGCTGGAGCAGGTAGTATGTGATCTTCTAGACCCCATCAACCTTCGTCAGCTATCATGCAAGCTAAGTTAATGAACTTCTGAGTGGGCTTGAAATTTGAATTTGAATTTGAATTTGAAACACATTGCCCATCATGGTTCCATAGTTTATTCATCAAATGCAGTTAGTAACTTTGAGTTACATGAACAAAAGACATTTTATTCTGTAGTAAAACTACAATCTTATTTATACAAGGGTCCATAATCCTGTGCTTAATCCTATATCCTAGAATATTGGCCTTTGATGCTAATTTAAGATTTGATATAATTTTACATGACTCTCCTGTTCAACTTTCAACTCTTTCTGAGTTATTATTCAGATATGATGAAGATACCAGGAGTGTGGGTGAAGTTAATGAGGACAGCCAGAAAAAGGAATGGAACAGTTTCTATAACAAACAGATGAAGTTGCGCAGGGTAAGTGGAAGAGCTTTCTATAGAAGATAGAGGCTCACCTATATAGGTAATCTTCAAGTTATGAATGTAATGGAGCCTGCCAATTACATTCGTAACCCGAGGATTTGTATGAGTGAATCATGTAATTTGCTAACCTTGCTTTTGTCCACACATTCGCTAATGGAATGCGCGGGTCGTTAAGTGCATGAGGTATTTCAGGGAGAAGAAGACCACGAGGGGCCTAGTGCTTTCCTCGACCCACTGAGATATCTCATGCTCCCCCCCCCCCATCCTGCCCAACCGGGTCATTTACCTTACATAGATCTCATGATCAACGGAGCTATCTCCTCTCCAGCCTCTCTAATACGTTTTCGTCTTGAGCAAAGGCTTGCCGAGACCTAAGGGATGAAAGATTGTGTTCCTATAAGCTCAGGTCATTTTTGCAAAAAGCCTTTGCCAATGAGAACAAGAGCCTGGGAAGGGCTCATGTCCCTCCAGGCCTCCATTCTTGTCGGCAAAGGACTTGAGGAAAAGGCTTTTCCTGACAAGAACAGAGGCCCAGAGGGATACACGCATTCCTCCCGACCTCCATTCTCGACGGCAAAGGCTTTTTGCAAAGCCGGCAAAAGGCTTTGCAAACGGAGGGAAGGCTTAGGTGCTTCAGGCCTTCCCTCCATTTGCAAAGCCTTTTACTGCAGATCTCATCCAGGCCTCCATTTGCAGAGAACAGAAGCCTAATATACTGGAAGATCATGCGAGATCAGTAGTATGAGATCTTGCGTTACTGATATCACGTGATCTTGTGGAACTTTAGGCCACCATTCTCTGCAAACGCACTGAAGGCCTAAAGCACTGAAGCAGGCCAAGAAACCGAAGGCTCGCTAGATCTTTGTAAGGCGAGTATCCACAGGCCTAGTGCCTGTGGAGACCCGGCTTATGTGGGGGTGGGGTGCAGCGAATAGGCAAGGTGAATGTTGCAGACGCTCTGCGATCATTCGTAAGTGTGAACGACTGCTGTGGTGACGCAACATTCATAATTTTGGGACTGTGTTGTAAGTACTTGGGGGGGTGTTATGTTGTAACTTTGAACAGTCGCTAAATGAACTGTCATAAATCAAGGATTACCTGTACATTAAACATTTGGATTGAGTATGTCATGCAATCCTGATATGTTTCCTAAGAAGTAAGTCACACTGAGTTAAACTGAACTTACTCCCACAAAAATACAATTGAGCCCAAAATTTATATTGTTAAGTCAGAATTTTTAAGTAAACTTTGCCCCATTTTACGACTTTCCTTGCCACAATTGTAAAGTGAATCACTGCAGTTAATAAGTTAGTAACCTTGTTATTAAGGAAATCTGGCTTCCTCATTGAGGTCAGAAGGTTGCAAAAAGTGATTCCATGATATTGCTACAGTCATAAGTATGAACCAGTTGCCAAGCAACTGAATTTTTATCACATGATCTGGGGATGTTGCAAAGGTTGTAACTGAAAAACTGTCATAAGTCACTTTTTTCAGTGCCATTGTAACTTTGAACGGTCACTAAATGAACAGTTGTAAGTCGAAGACTACCTGTAAGACTTCAGAATTGAGCTAAAATATTAAGACTAAACCTTGTAACAATACTAATAGGAAGAAAGACATTCAGTTGCTTTAAAAACGATATAATTCTGGCTTTTCTCTGTGGCTAAGAGAATCACATTTTGGAGAATCACCTTTAGTCCTTCATCACAGATATATGCATCCTTTGGGTGACCGGAGGCTGCATAGTGTGTTGGTGAAGATGTGTCCAAAATAGGTAGAACCATGTAGTGTACTTGAGCAAAAGTGGGATTTTGTCTTTATTTTGTTTTGTTTTTAAATTGAAATTGTTGAGAATTGTTTCAGGGCTTTTAAGAGTACAAACAGCAGGCATCAAAGACAGTAGTTTCTATTTAAAAATCAGTCATTAAAGTGGGCAAGATTTTAGACAATATTACATACAACCACAGAGATTTTGTGACTGACCATTTCACAAGAATTTGCCCACTTTGAAAATACTTCATTTATTTTTATTTATTTTATTTACTTTTTTCTAATGTACTGTATCTATAGATTAAAGATAAATTAAATCAGTTAAATTTTTGTAAATATATAATTAAGAGCCTATTAGGGGAGCCACCATTCTTGGATTGCTAGCCCTTGAACTACATTTTCATGCATTTCCTATTTTAAAATAGTGGGAAACCTTGCCACTGAATGTGGACAGCATAGTGAGAATTGTTTAATTTTATTTATTCATTTATATCCTGCCTTTCTTATTTTTATAAATAACTCAAAGCAGTGAACATACATAATACTCCTTCCTCCTCCTATTTTTCTCATAACAACACACCTGTGAAGTGGGTTGAGCTGAGAAAATAACTGGCCCAAAGCCACTCAGCTGGTTTTCGTGCCTAATGGGGGACTAAAACTCACAGTCTCCTGATTTCTAGCCTGGTACCTTAACCCATAGGTCCAATACAGATCTCAACTCAAGGATAAGAAGAATAGAGTTTCTTCATACATGAGACTGCAATTTTAAATTATTTCTTCTTCTAAGCACTTTCTTGAGTGTTTTCTATATGATTAGAATATTATCTAGTAATATTCATCCAAAATTTACTTGTACGGGTCAGAAAATATAGGATGAAGATACTGTACATGATAAGTTTAACAGATCTCTACTTTAACCAGCTAAAGATAAATTACCGTAATTGCCACATACATTGGGGGACTATTGTTATTAACCCTAATCCTGTTAATTAATCTAAGTAACCAAATTTGGTTTAAAATATTTTTAAAACTATTTAAATACATTGATTTTTTGAGTTCAAATTTCAGCTTCTTAGTTAAGTTTTAGCATGCAACATTTTAAAAAACATTTCCTATGGTCATTTGAAATATGTTGTTTCTGTTTAATCTCTTTAATTTCCATCTTTTTTATATCTTTAGGGCAGAGAGCCTGAAAATGATAACTTTGTTCTTCCGGGTAAATATTATTTCACATATCAGTTTTGGATAAAGTTTGCATGGGTGTTTTTGAGGACAGTAATTACAGCCTATATATAGTTTAGTCTGTAAGATAGAGGGATTCAATTACTGCAGCAATGGGTGCTATATTGGAAGATCTGAAGGATCAGGTGGGGTTAGTGTGTCCGGGAGAAAATCTGTCTATGGAGATACATAATAAGTCAATCAATGGTTTAGCCTGCATAAACCCTAGTATGAGGGCTAGTTTGATAGAATTAGAAACAAGTAACCTGAAACTAGATGGTAGTTTACATTAACGAAGAACAGGTGGGACCTGTTCATCCTGCTCAAAAGAGATGCTTCCAGCCTCTTTATCACACAGATAAAAGAAAAACTTGTAAAAATGTGAACTTTGATTTCATTATAAATGGAGCTTGCATTTTATTCATAGTAGTTGCTGGAATTCTTCCTAGTTTTTCCATTTATAGTAAGCCTGCAACATTTATAGATTTAATATCTACCACCAGAAGATTGTTTAATGGATATTAGTATGCTGTTTGCTGTTTGTATATGACATTACTGACCCCAGGATTCCATGTTGGACTGAACTACAAATAGTATAATTGCCTATGAAGAGCTCCTTGCTAAAACATTTGGATTTAAGCCCAACACTGGCAAAAATAGCTAAATCAGACTTTCACTAGAACTTTGCTTTGTTCAGTGCCAAATATCATTCTGGAAATTTCTGATAAATACAGATGTTTTATTATGAGTAAGATGAAGTACAAGACAAGATCATTGATTCTGTAACTTAGGTGGCACTTAATGACATGGAGGAAAAAAATAAACCCTGCCTCTCCTTAATTGACCTCAGCTTTTGGCTTTTATGCTACCTATTGAAAATTTCAGAGAAAGTCAAAAACATGTAAGCAAAATGAAGCATAATAAATAGTGGGTAAATGTCAGTAAAATGATACACTTTCATTATGATGTACCCCAAAGATGAAATAACTGGCAGATTTCCAGATCGCTAATAAAATGGATCCTCATCACATGCATCAGCCAACAGGATGTAAGCAAGAAACACCCAGAGCCATAGAGAGTCACATGAATTCTTCCAGTGTAAGGATAGTATATGCTGGGAAAGGAAATTTTAAAAATCTAGATATGGTTGGTGAAGTAACAAAACACATATGCAGAAAGAGTTCTGTTCTGCAGTCTGGTACAGTTATACTTCTCATCTGTGAAAAGTTTGGCAACATATTAGAATTTGTTAACTTAGCCTGTGTATTTGCTCCTTTTGGTAGATAGTGATTGTCCCTTGAAGGATGCAGCCAGTAGGAAAATTGCCAGAATTACAGTAAAGGTAAGTGGAATTTTTTTCAAGACAGGTTATTTTAATTTTTAATATAGTCTACTTATTATTCATTGTCAACTGGTTAAATTGTGATATTCAAATTGAAGACTAACTGAAGAAAAATATAGCACAGATATGTTTCCTAGGTAAAGTCAAGATCAATCAAAATTTAGGTGGAGTCACCCCTTCAGTGCAACTCTTTCACCTTTCTTTCACTGCTTCTTCCACATCCAGACCTAAAGAACCATAGTAACTCTTAGCCCCAGCTTTCATATGCAGTTTAATTCATTCTGAACTATTTGTCTACAATATGATGTAACATTCACATACAGGTATTGATTTATAGCTTTAAAATGTCTTCACTGTTATTTTTAATTAGTACCTGTGCTTTATTTGAATTTTATGAATGGTCTAGAAACCATTTTGTAATTCCCCGCCGCCGCCCCCCAAAAAATGTCCAGGGAGTTCTTTAAATGTATCTTCAGAGTTCCTTTAATAAATTTGTATTTCTTTTTCTGATTTTTTAAAAAACTTGTCTTAGCTGTTTAGATCATGGAATAGACTTTTCCAGTCCTTATCATCCCAACTCTCTGAAACCTTTTTATTTATGCCCTAAAACATGTTTTAAAAAACCAGTTAGTGATGATATTGCAATTTGTCATTAGTAGCCTGATTTCGATGAATACATCAAACGATAATTGTATTGGGCTCTTTCTTACTTCATTTTAGGCCTGGGTTAATCTTTTTAAAGAAAAAGCTTAATAAGCAAAAAAGTAGATCTGGGTTGTAATGCTGTAACCCCAACTCCTGGAACAATTATTAGGGTAGAAGGAAGGATATTATCCTGGAAATTATCCTGCTGCACATACATCGTTACGCATTTGACAAGGAACACACTTCCATATGTCCTCTTTTTATTTTAGGCTCGAGAACACTGCCTTAGGATGCTGGAAGAAGCATTGGTCACCAACCGGCAAGCAGCACCAGTTACAGATAGGTAGATCTAATCCAATTTGGTGGAAGAGTCCCAGAGCTCCCTTTGGATCCTTTTCCTCCCTGCCCCACTCAGACAAATTAAGGGCAAAGATGCAGACCAAATTGAGCTTTCGCCTACGTAGGTCTTGCACTGGTACTGGATTAGATGGAATTGAATCTAACTGATATTTAAATATGATCCATTGGCAAAATGTTTTGATTTATTCTAAAATTCTTATTTTACTGTTTTATACACACACACACACACACACACACACACACACACACACTTCTCCCCACCCCCAAAGAAAGTGGGTGGAAATGTCTGTGTGTCTTATAGAGTGAATATTGCGGGGGGAGGGGGATTAGTTTGCCGCCGTTTGTCACAGCTGCCAACGCTTGCCCTCACAGGGGAACGCTGGAGCCTTCACTGCTGAGCAGCTGATTGGTGGTTGGATCGGCCTCCCAGAATACTGTCGATCAACTGTTCTAGGCGGCAGGGATTGCTGCCGCTGATCTCTGTCGATTGCCGGTGGTGGTGAGTGGCGGAAGTGAACGGCCTCAATAGGCAGCAGCGATAGACAGCAGCAGCAATCCCCACCACCTAGAACAGCTGATCGGCGGTATTCCGGGAGGCTGATCCAACCGCCAATCAGCTGATCGGCAGCGAATGCTCCAGCGTTCCCCAGTGTCAGCAACAGCTCAGCTCAGTCAAGCGGTGGTGGGCACAATGGAGCGGAGCCCTGACGAATCACTTGCTGGGGCTGTGATAACGTGCTGAAGCTGACCAGGCTGTTTGCTGCAAGGACACTAGCCAGATGAATACTGGATGGATGCTGGGAGGCAGAGGCAGATTTTTCTTTCCCCTTGTTTTCCTCCTATAAAGCTAAGGTGCGTCTTATGGTCTGGTGTGTCTTATAATGCAAAAAATACAGTAACTTCTTGGGGATTTTAGATGGGTTTTTTTGGTTCTATTTCTATTGCTATTTTTGTTCTAAAGTTGCCCTGGAATTTGTTTTTTCTTCTTGAAAGACAGTCTATAAATGAGTAAACTTGAATACCACTGCCATATTTTGGACCATGGAAAAATTTAAGAATATTTGCACAAATCACACAAAATGTCATCATGCTTCAAGTTAAAGCTCTAAGTATGCACATTCACAGGGATGACTATATTGGTTCTCCAGCAAATGTCAGTGTTGGAATCAAAGTATGCAGTTACGAGGTCATTCTTGTATTACTGGGTAAACTTTTTTCTTACACGAATGTGATTATCTGAATGACCCAAGTATATTTGCATCTTTTCTTCTGTGATCTAAATAGTGCAATTTCCTTTGTTTCCACCAGAGGATAGCAATGTACTATAAAAATACATCATACTGCAAAAAGAAACAGGCAGGTTAAAAGTACTTGTGCAATAAACTAGAAATATTAAAAGGAAAAGTATAACTTTGGGTTACTGTTTTTTGTCTCCTTATTTGGGGAAGAATAGTCAATTGCCACCAGTATTTTTGCACTCAGGCAATAATTTGGAACTGCCAACTGTCGCAATGTGGATTCTACAATGACACCTAAGAAAACATGGAGCATTTCCTTTGTATTTGGAGAAATGCCTTCGGCCACTGCTGCTCAAACTATGGGTCTGTTTTAGTTCAGGTCTTTTAGCAAGTGCTGTAGAGATGGAATATGAAGCTTTCCGGACCAGTAAGATGGCAAACCTATACAAGGCATCAGTTCTAAAGAAGGTAATAAACAGTTGTGGAAATTAACATTGTGGGCCAGTGTTCTCTCTGATAGTTGGATTTTTTTAAACATGTAGTCATAAAGAAAAAAGTGGTGTATTTATTTTTGACTTACTGGAAAATGCTGTTGTCATTCCTATCAGTATGTAGATCTTCAACAGAATGCAGATTCAGTAATAATCAGATTTGTAGCAGTTTTTAGATCAATTATTGCATCACAGTTGAATATCTTCTCAAGAATGTATGCTTTAAAATAATCTGCAGTGTCTGTTTCAGCAGTACAGCTGTCTCATTCATTTCTGAACAGCCCTTCTTTAAAACTATATGGTTGCAGCAACATAATAAAACTTCACAAAGGATTAAAGGGGAAAAAACATACTTCTTGTGTTGGCAGAGCCTTCTAGTCAAATGAAAGTAGACAAGTGGCTTGGGATAGCTAGAAAAATGCATCACTCCAGCAGCTGAAGGTGTGGCTCACTTTTGTATGCTTTGGAAGCTATTCTCTAACATTGAAATGGAGACTTACACGACTCTCCCTCTGGGTAGCTTTATAAGAATCTGATGTGTAAATAAGTGTCAGTTTCAGTGGCAAAATCTTCCTTTCAGAGGTAGAGCAGAAACACCCTTGAACAAAAATTAGTAACAATTGTGCATTCAACTTCTAGTGCTCCTCTGTAATTTCCAGAGTCTCACTTCATTTCGGATAAGTATAAATAAGTGGCTTGAAAGACAGGCACCTAAAGGTCTGCTGCCTTCTTGAAATTACCCCACTCTCAGAGGGTGATGCTGTCCCAATTGTGGATTGCCCTTTCTTGCATTGATTGTTTGGCACTACAGTGGAATCTTAAGTACAACTTAAACTTAAATTTATCCCATTATTCACTGATCACTATTGTTTTTAAGACTTTGTTCTTTTATTTGTTAATTTCTCACATTCCTATATTTAAGCTTTGGACAGGATATGCATTTAAAAGTGGGGTGCATCTACTTTGAATGAATCATAGTAAAGTAAGAACTTTATTTTTTGACAAAATGAGGAGGGGGGGGAGTCCAATCCATGTTATCTGTGCTCAAGACATTTGAATGAGAATTCAGACAAGGGAGGAATAGTTGAAGGAAGGTTAATCCATCTTAGATTGTTAAGAACCTGATCAGGAATGATGATAATGCTACATTAATTGCTTTGTATAAGAAAAGCCTAATTCCTTAACATTTCCTTGCATGGATTTCCTGCTTGTTGCAACTACAGATAATCCTTGCTTAATATCCACTCATTCAGCAACCATTTGAATTTATGACAGTGCTGAACAAGTGATAGTTATGACTGATGCTTGTACTCAGGTAAGCCACAGTATCCCACAATAACAGGATCACCATATCCTATTCTTTCCTGGCTTCCTACAAGCAAAGTCAGTGGGGAAGCCAGCAAGAGGTCACATGTAGTGACCACGTGAAGTCCTTGCTTAACACCCACAGTGATTTGCTTAATAATGGCAATCAGAAGTGCCAAATCTTCTGTCACAAAGCGTTGCAGTGACATGACATTGCATTTTATGACTGTCAGTTAGCAGTGGAAATTCCAATGCTGGTTACTATTTATACTAAATGAGGACTAGTATAGTGAAACAAACACGGTACAGTACCAGAGACAGAGAATCCTCTGAATAGCCCTCTTTACTCTGTCTCTTTTTTCAATAAAGGTCACAGAAATTAACAAAGCTTCCAAAAATGGGGAATTGTATGCCATCCCGGACTTGGGAATCAGTGACTACCCCAAGATGAAAGGTGAACCAACTGCTACACATGATGACGTCTTCTGTCAAGCATCCAAAGTGAATACTGTAAGTGCTATAAACCTTTTGCTTATAATTCATTATTCGGTAGGTGGTTTTGCAACAGATTTTGCCATGCATAATTTTTTTGAGCTTTCAGAAATCTCTGTTATATTTGCCATATAGTCCCAAAGGTGCTTTTTCAAGAGGCAACTGGACTTTCTGGGTTTTGTTTGAAGACGTATCGTTTCTCATCCAAGAAAATTCTTCAGCTCTTTTGAAGCTTCTTAGATGAGAAGCAAAACTTCTTCAAAGAAAAACAAGAAAGTCCAGTTGCCTCTTAAAAAAGCACCTTTGAGACAACCAGGACCTGGATGACTGAAAATCTCCGTAGACATTTGCCATGTAGGAAAAATATCTATCCTTACGAGACCGCCTCCTGCCACCAATAACCTCTCACCGACCAGTTCGCTCCCATAGAGAGGGACTCCTCAGGGTGCCGTCGGCCAAACAATGTCGACTGACGGCCCCCAGGGGGAGATCCTTTTCTGTGGGGGCAGCTACCATCTGGAACGGGCTTCCCCCGGAGTTACGAAACATCCAAGACTTACGCATTTTCCGCCGAGCCCTGAAAACATTTCTATTCCAACAAGCTGGTCTGGCCTAACTCTCCCTTTTAAATTGCTTTTTAAATTGGCTTTTAAATCGGGTTTAGACCTCTTTTAGATAAATTTGGATGTTTTAATCTTTGAGCCAAATTACTTAATCTGTTCTTAATAGTTTTTAACTTCTATATGTATTTGTATTTATTATGGCTGTTCACCGCCCTGAGTCCTTCGGGAGTAGGGCGGTATACAAATGCGAAAAATAAATAAATAAATAAATAAAAATAATAAATAAATAAATAAATAAATAAATAAAAATAAATAAATAAATAAATAAATAAATAAATATCCATATACTACTACAATTTTCTTTCTTGTAACCTTGAACTGGCCAAAATGGTACACCATAGGGCAAAACTTTTTGAAACAAGATACCTCAAATGGGCTAATTTTTAGAATGCCTCCAAAATATGGGATCCATGATTTCCATAGAACTGAAATTTGGCAAATTTTATACAACATTTTATGACATAAAAATTAACGTCAAACTGTGTATGAAATAATACAAAATGTCATAAAACATTTCCAGGGCTTCCTGTTTGACTGTGCTCTACACTTCAACATGGGCTATTTTCAAGGCAGATACATATTTCTGAATGTATCCCAACTTTTCCAGTAAAGGCAATACATTAGTTCTGTCGTTGAAGGCATTGAGAAATCTAATAAGGAAATAACTTTGCAAGGATGACACAAGGGTATCACATGTTGTCCAGTATATTAAAATTAAAATTCTCCTGTTTTGTCTGTGTGTAACGTTAACTGGCCAAAATTGTGCATCATATGGAACCATTTTTGAACCAAAGTACCCCAAATGGGATAATTTACAGAATGCATCCAAAATCCAAAACCCATGACTCCCCTGAAATTGAAATTTGGCACATTTTCTAAAACATTTCATGGCCTAATACAAAATATAAAACATTTCTTGTGGTCCTGATATTTGACTGGGCTTTACAGTTTAACATGGCTATTTTCAAGGCAGAGTCATCTCTGAATATTTCCCTGAATTTTTAAAAATGTTTCCTGTGAAGGCAGTGTGTTAGAAGCTCTGCATACATTAGAAATAAAAAATATCTCAAATGATTGTGTTCTTGATTTCAAAATTTCATAGGCAAATTCAAATGTTTTAGAAATGTAACTATTTTTTATCTTTTTCCCAAGTTCAAACCCAAGAGAATGGGGATTGGATTTCAAAGGATGTCTGACATGTTCCAGTCTGCTTCAGAGGTTCTATCTGCTAAGGAAGGAAATGACATTAATGTTGTAAAAGAGGAAATTGGCTCAAACTGGAAGGAAGACAGCAGCTGTGGTCCCAAACCTTTGGATATGGGTGACATTCTTGAGGATAAGGAGGAAACAACCAACAAAATATGCAAAAACGGTGTTGAATCCCCTGAAAAAAAAGGACAGCATGACACTGCTGAGGCTGTCACCTCCTTGGCAGTTAGTCATGAAAAGAGAAAACCTACTAAGAAGCAGTTGCTGTTGGCAGAAGCAGCTAGGAAAGAATCTCAGAATATCTCCAAATTCTTCTCCATCCCCAAAGCAGGATGTAAAGCCAAGGCTTCAGAAATTGATTTGGCAGAAAAGAAAATCAACTGTCTCAATGAACTGCCTCAGTTTCTTTCCCGAAGAGCATGTGAAGAGAAAGCTGAACCTCAGGAAACTGATACTGTCTTTAAAGAAGAACTAACAAGTTCATCCCCCCAAAAAGAGCAGGAATTCAAGAATATAGAAGATATGCCTTTGAGCAGTCAAAGATTAGGGAGAGAGTACTCATACTCTGGATCAAGTTTTGAAAAGCTAAAGTGAGATATGTTTTTCTTTGCCTCTCAATTATTACCTGTTTTGAAGTTAGGATAGACAATGGGCATTTGAATAGAAGCTATGATTCAACTATAGTTTCTCAAGTCAAATTTGAGATTGTAGTATATTAGGTTGGATGAAGCAATTGAATTTAAGCATGTTGCTCATCCTGAGAGTTGACACAGGTTGTAAGAGTACAACTGAAGGTGAAAAAGCTAAACCTTAGCCTAGTATTTGGACTGAAATTGAGCAGAAGGATAGCTCAGTATGTAGATTTGGAGATCTAAGTGTAGGCTAATTTCAGGTATTTCCTCTGTCTCCACAAAGATGTTAACATTATTCTTACAAGATGTATTTGTTATACTTTTTTTCTTGAAGAGCTGAATCTTTGGTTAAAGAAGATATAACCAATGATTGTGAAAATCATAACGGAAAAAGACCAGGATCAGCTGAAGTGAGTTATATTTTATTAAAATTGTCTGTCTGTCCATCCCTCCATACACACTCACAGAGGGGGGGGGCATATGGAGGGATGGGTGTCATGCCCCCGTCAGAGTCTGAATCTGTGGGAGAAGATGAGCTGGAATAAGAACTGACGAGCGAGAGGGTGGCTCCGTTGGCCTTGGAGGAAGAAACTGGGGAAGGGCAGAGTCAGTCCGGGCAAGTCTTTTCAGGATTAGAAAGGCTTGCAGACAGGGAGGAGCAGGAGAGACAGAACTCAGGGGAAGAGCAAGGACCACCCCCTCCTGACCCTAGAGTACGCAGAGAAGAGAGAAGGCCAGAACAAAGCAGACTGAGCTGGCTAAGAGGGAGGAGAGTGCCCCACCTCCCTTCACAAGGCACACCTGGGGACTGAGATGTAAGGAGGTGCTGGTGGGAGGGGCATTTGGCGGGAACAAGCGTTGAATCTCTGGAGCCTTGTGTGCACTTGCCGACACCTGGAGATTACTGTTTGGCTAAAAACTGGCTTATTGGATTGCTGGCCCTGGTTACTGTTTGGCTAACCTTGCTTACTGGACTACTCGCAGCCAGGACTTGTAGTAAACATGGGGATGTTTGGGGGCAAAGTTGGATCAATAGAGGGGAGTTAGACCTGTTCTCTGCCTGTGTTGCTTTCGTGCCACAGATGGGCCTGAGATTTGATGACAGGAATATAGGAGTGAAGGATTAGGAAGTAGCAAGTGAGATTATTTCTGTTTGCCTGAACTAATTCCCAAATGACATTTGCAGCGAGGCCAACTAAGATTCAGGTGGCAATTTAATAAATTGATGCTTCATCCAAGAGAAGTCAATTTCTTCTTTATAGAATTTGTCTCTAGTGCTAACCATCAAATGACAGTGACACTAATTAAGGCTGGCTGGCTTAACTAATTAAATTAATTGGCCATGCATCTGAAGTACATAACTGTGAGCAGGGAAAGAGAGAAGATAGACTGCATATATGTATACAGAAAATAAAACACAGCAGCCAGAAAAGTAATAAAAATAGCCATCAACACAAACAGGATCTTGAATGGGTTGCTTCTAGACTATATTGGTTTCATTGCATTGCATTTTAGTGATGCACAAATCAGTGTTAACATCACACTTGGGAATTGACATGCTTTTGGTTATTTTTGACTGTTCCTTTTTTTAATGAGTAATTAACCCATTTATTTCAGCTAGCTGGGCTGGCTTGAGTTAAATTTTAAACTGATTTTAAATTGGAATTTTTTAATTACGGCCAGAATATTTAATTATTTTAAACAGTTTTTAGATTTTGTATGTCTTGTTTTTACTTGGCTGTTCACCGCCCTGAGTCCTATATTGGAGAAGGGCGGTATAGAAATTTAAACAAATAAATAAATAAATAAATACTGTTCATTTATTTTTCTCGAACAAAGACTATCCTCTTTTGATGATGCAAATAGCAGAAAGTGGGCAATGACTAATATGACATACCTTGCCTTAGAAGATATGTAGACAAAAAAGTCTTTGTTAGTCTTGTTGCTTTTGTTTGGCTCAAATTAATGCGAAGGATCAAAAAGAGTAGAGGAAGAGGTATAATTAGCACTGAAGATTTTGTGCTTGTTAATTTGTGTTCCTGGATATCTGTTTGATCCTTTGCTTCAGTCTATTAATGATACAACCAGGCTTCAGAAAAGTCATGATTATTTCCTTTGATAGTATATCTTTGAGTGTATATCTTTGAGATGCTAATGCATCTTCATTGAGAAATGTAGATAACAAAGGAATATTCTTTTACAGTGTTTTGCCAAATTTCTATCTCCAGAAGTGTTCATTATCTCGGAGAGGTTTCCATTGTACCTTTGATTTATAAAAGTTATTTAACAAGATATTACTGAGTTATTCCCAAAAGAAACTAGAACTAAAAAAAGCTGTTCCACATCCATATATGCAAGCACACAAAAAGATACTTATTAAGTGCTAGAGTTGCGAGTTGTTATGGAGAGACACCTTGTTTCATGTGGGAATAAGTTGTTTGAGAAGAAGTGACTTCCTATTTTCTTTTACGACTGTGATAAGTACAAATGAAAATTCAGCTTTTACTCTGTGATTATGGCATTACTTAACATTTTTATAACTCTTTTTTTTTTTTGCACTTTTGGTTTTGTCTTTTTCACATCTTTTTCCCCCTCTCTTTATTTTAAATACTGAATTAGTTCTTGCTATTTTCCATCTTTTTTTCTTTTAAACTTTAATAAAGATACAAAAATGGAATAAGGTGCTTTTTCCTTCTGCTTCTTGAATTAAGAAACCGGATCACATTACCCTGTTTCCCCGAAAATAAGACCTCCTGGATAATAAGCTCAATTGAGCTTTTGAGCACATGCACTAAAATAAGTCCTCCCTGAAAATAAGCCCTCCCTGAAAATATTTAAGCACACGAGCAGCCAGTCCCCGCCATTTCCTCAGGTTAGGGAGACAGAGGTGGAAATCAGTTAAGACGGCAAGAGGAGCCCTGTCTTGCTCCATGCACCCCAAAATAATAAGACCCCCCAAAAATAAGGCCAAGCGCTTATTTCAGGGTTCAAAAAAATTTAAGACAGGGTCTTATTTTCGGGGAAACACGGTATCATCTCTTGACACATGCAATGTTGAGAGTTTAAATTGTAAATCATACCAACAAAAAATATGTGTTTCTTGTATTTCAGGAAGGTTGCTTAGGTTTAGCCATGTAAAGTTGCTTTAAAGATTTCTGTTTCTGCCTTTCCAGGACCTGGAGAGCCCTGCTGAAAAGAGGCTACGGATGATGAACAAGTCCTCCATTTTGTCAGAGTCAGAGGAGAAAGCTGGTATGCTGGCAAAAAAGAAAGTCACTTTTGACCCAAATTTATCACAGGATGATAAAGAAGGGACCACAGGAGCCATCCAGCCACGTTCAAAAACATTGTCGCTTAAGGAAACAGCAGATATTGTTGTAAAATATTTGACTCCTTTCTACAAAAGTGGGAAATTTGCATCTAAGGTGGGTTCTGAACTATTTAATTTCCTCCTCCTCCTCCTTTTCCACCTCCACCTCCGTTTGATTTATGTGTCCCTATCAGTTAAAGCCTCCATGGTGACACAAAAGTTAGGTATGAAATTAAATGCTGTTGCAGAAGATATCTAAGGAAATGCATGGGGAATAAAATGTTCCACTGTCGTGTCATCTTAGTCCTTCTTATGATAGGGATGGGACAGTGCTGGACAGAGCTAAGCTTGGTTTTTTTTTTTTCCCTGCCATTGTATTCCAATGAAATAAGCACAGTACTTTCAAATAATAATTGTGTGTATTTAACTTGCTTTATTTATGAGCAGACAGCACTGTCCTCCATTTGTAATTTTTCTGTCTTTCCCCAACTTTAACAAAACCCATTCAAGGGGAATAATGTAAAATAGCAGCAGTGTTTCAGGGCAGGTAAGTAGTACAGTAGTAAGTAGGGACGTGTGAATTGTGACATCACACAAAATGTTCCACCCTAGAACAAAACATTTCATGTGATCCAGAACTGATCTGACCTCAAAATGGGCTTCTCCAAATATTCCACAAGCAGTTTAACAAATTGGAACCCTCTTGAGTATCTTTGTTGCAACGTCAGAACACGCCCATTCCATGGTTGAACAGCGCACTTCAAGGCCAGAGCCTTTCACCAGATAATGTTTTGCGCATCATCACTTAGAAGCCCACTGCCTGGAAGTGCCTTCTCAGTTGTAATTTTCATTCCTTGAGAAACATGCATGTAAGTCAGCAGTTTATTCCTCTTCAAGACATTGATGTCTGCATGAGCCTTTGTTACATTCAGTTCAGCTGTTCTTCTGATCCCACTTACGGGTGATTGTGAATTTAATCAGAATGGTAACTTCACTAGAACTACTTTGCTTTGTTACCAGGACAAAAATGTTGAATTCTAAACTTTCTACTCTACCATAAGGATAAAGAGCTGCAGTATGCCCAGTAAAGGCCTCTATGAGTTGAAGTTGTCCCAGATTACTTTAGCACAATCTATTGGATGTATTTATTTATTTATTTAGCAATCTATTTATTGCTTGCTTATTCATTTAAAATGTGCAAAATGCTGATGTATCCAGTGATACTTCCCTTAGCACATACCAGACTCTATCTAGCATGGATCAAAGCAAAGCACCAACATCAAGCATCTGTTTTATTTCCAGTAATGCTTTTGTGGTCTAGTATAATTCTTATAAAATAAAAAATGGCAGGTGACTTAACCCTGTGCTTTGTAGATATGCCTGTCTGACTCCTCAAGAAAAAAAGGCAAAGATAAATCAAGTGGTAGAAAACACTGAAAGTTTTGAGTGGTTGGCAGGGAGCAACTTCCCAATGTGTCTTCTGGCTACCTCATTAAGGGGAGTCATTATGTAAGATAGATTCTCAAAATTAAAAAATCCAAATTCCTTGTAGATCCCTGGATCCAATACTATTATACCCATATATTGATAATTATAATATAAGCACCTAATTCAGGCCTGGGCATTTTATGGCCCCTGGACCACATTCAGCTTTTGGCTGTCCCTGTCCAGCCCACATGAGGTCAGTTGGAACTTAGAAATCAAATGTAAATAAGTGTGCCGCAGGGGAGCAGGAGACAAAGCCAAATCAGGTCCAGCTCTGTGCAGTCACGATGCACTCCTTCAGTCAGTTGGCAGCTACAGGGGGAGAGGATGTGGGGCGGGGGAGAGATAGCATTTTTCTACTGCATAGCACTCGCCCCTTAAATGAAGCAATTTGAAGCGTTGAGGTGATGGAGTTAGAGGACATCAAATCAGTTCGGCTCTTCACCACAGTTCCAGTTTCTCATGTGGGCCCTTGAGAAAATTAATTGCCCATCCCTGATCTAACAGAACTTGGATTTGATTTTAGTTTCACAACCTTGACTGCCTTGTAATGTCTAATTGTTTGCACATGCACCTTCTATTTGAATCACAGATAGCATGTTCCCTATTGTATGATAAGCAGACACCTAATTATGAGTCTGCCCAGCTGGGCATCAATTACTTTGTCTGTCATAGAAGCACAAGAGTTAGATGTTAATGAGGGAATTGCATTCCACTACGCTTATTCTGCTTTCTTATCTCATACCTGGCAGGATTTGTTCAAGGGATTTGCTCGACACCTCTCTCATTTGTTGGCTGCAGACAAAAGTAGTTTCCGCAAAACAGGTGAGTTGCCAAATAAAGGACAGGGTGAAGGAATATCTTGTGCTTTGTCCCTCTTATTTTGCAAAATTGTTGACCTGTAGAGATCTCTAATTTTCAATTCTTTTTTTGGTATGGGGGCATAAGGTATAGTTAAGCTTGATTAGTATTTATGATATGATGGAAATGTTTGAAAATCTGTTGTCGATAAAGTATAGGTATTAGACATATATATGACTTTCAGTAATTGGAGATTGTTTTCTGCACATTTTTCTTTCTCACCATTAGCTCACTTTTATTCATTCGTTCATTCATTCATTAGCCCCTCACATCCTGGACAACAAGACTAAAACAACACTAGGGCATTGCACACCAGAACAACTAGATACAAGGACAGTTTTCCCCCCATGCCATCACTCTGCTAAACAACTAATTCCTACAACACTGTCAAACTAATTAGTAAGGCTGTATTACTATTATTCTTCTCATCTTTCCTATTACCTATCTCCTTTTCTACTTATGTCTATAACTTAGTTGCTTGTATCTTTACGATTTATATTGTATGATTTATGTTGTTTGCTTATTTAGTATCCTGTGACTATCAGTAAATGTTGTATCTTATGATTTATGATGAATGTATTTTTATGATGTCTATAATCATGCTTACTTATTGCCTGTATGTACACTGTGAGCTTATGCACTGAAGACAAATCCCTTGTGTCCAATCACACTTGGCCAATAAAGAATTCTATGCTTAATCTTATTCTCACCACATTCCATGTCCTACCATGTTCTGTTAACCGTATTTTGCAAATACTGTTTGAGCCAATAGGTACAATTTCAATTTGGTAATGAATGAGAGGTGTGATAAATAAACTGTGATTGAGAATGTCATTATCTCAGGTGCCACTCTTTCTGTTTGCAGTGAAAAAAGAAGCGCAGAGGCTGATCAAGACATTTTTCAAAAGCCGGGACAAGTGTGAAAGCGAAACAGATTGGCAGGAGCTGAGCACTTTGGAAACATGACTCATGAAAGGCCCTGCTTCACTTTGCTGGTTATGACATAGGACTGTCCTTCCAAGTTTCGCTGTAGCTACGCTTTGTAACAATGCAATGGGGAAGCGGAGGGAGAGGGCAGTTGAGGAGATAGAGGCCCCAGAGTTAAGGATTTTATCTGCACAATAGATTTTCTCTTTCTGGAAAAAAAAAAATAAGTCATGTCGCTGTCAGGTTTTGAGGGCAGCCCACTTTCCTCCTTCTAGCAAGTATGAGTGAACTCAACCTTATTATTTGGCTAGGCATATGATTGTGACTGGAGAGTCTCCAGTCTTTTAATACAGATTTTACTGGCAGCTATCTTAAATAGACGAAATGCATTTGCCTCAGTCAGGATTTCTTTGCTGTGAGAGTAAGGGGTAAGAGAGTACTTTGGGAAAGACCAGTTAATTTATAATTAAAAGGAAACCCAGAAGGGTTATTTTGGCCAAAGCTCTTTAGATTTCTGTTCTTTTATGGTGTTGACATGTTTCTTTTATTCCAAAAGTGTTCCCTTGCAATAATTTTAAAAAAATTAAAGCTCATAAGCTGTAACAAAATGTGCTGAGTTGACTGGGCAGTGTATTGATAGAATTTTCCTGAGTTGGTAATATAATAAATGCAGCAAATTAAGGGCATAGCAACCAGTACTAATTAAACACATGCAGCACTTTGTTTTTTTAAGTGCTGTTTAGAGAGGGTCTTCCAATGTGGGCAACAGGAACTATTTTGATGCTTAAGCTTTCCTACATTATTTCCTTTCCCAATTACTGCTTCGGTAACCCTGCTCTCCTTCTACGTCATCTGTCAGTATTTGCTATGTGTACTTCAGGGACACCCTGCCAGCTGCCCAGATAGGTGTTGGTGTAAGTTTCCTTCATCTCCCACCAGTATGACCAGGGTCTTTGTTGGCTGGGAACAGGGGTGGGCTTCAAAAATTTTAGCAAGGGGTTCTCTGCCTGGTTGCTGGGTGGGCATGGCCATGGTAGGTGTGGCCTAGTTGGCCTCCTGCACCACAGGGGGGGAGGGCGTTTTTGCCCTCCCCTGGCTCTGGAGGCTTTTCTTGAGCCTCCGGGAGGGCAAAAACAGCCTCCCCAGACTCTGGAGGCCCCCTGAAGGCCAGAAACAGGCCTGCTTCTGGCCTTCCTGAACTCCGGTAGGCCCGTTTTTGCCCTCCCCGAGCCTCCATGCATGCCCTGCACTTACCTGCATCCAAAACAGGCCAGATGGGGACTTCTGAGAGGAGCTGGGCCAAGAATTTGGGGGTTCTCCGAACTGCACAGAATCTTAGCTAGAGGTTCTCCCAAACCCCCAACAGCCCACCCCTGGCTGGGAACGATGGAAGTTATGCCTTTAAACTGGGTTTGGGAAGAGAGTTCTGAAACATTATTTTTAAGGAGAGAATTAATATTGTGTCTTGCTTCTGTTCCTAGTTGGCATGTCTTCCTTTATCCAAGAGGGACTATTACACACCTATTACGGTTAGAAATGTCTAGTTAGGAGCAATAAAACCTCAGGAATAAAGGTCAATACCTCCCTTCCCAAAGATTCTGTTCTTCGATATTAATTGAATGGAAATGCCTGATATATTTAAGGAAAATTGCCATTGCAGTATCAGTGCACATTGCTCTAAAATTATGCAGTAGTAATATTTTAGATTGCATTTTTATTTTTTGCATATGGAGAAAATTATAGACCCTTACAGGAGATCATTAATCACAAATGTTTTCAGTGGGTTCTTGCAAGGCTGTTACACAGATTATTTGTACAGTGAGGAGCTGTAACATTTGGGGGGGGACCCTTGGATTTGCCACACTATAAACATGGGTGTGTTGTATTAAAAAATGTGTTTAGGTAAATAATGTAAAATTAGCACTTTAAAACATGAAAAATGTGAGAAATTTATCAACTACTGTAGTAGTCTCCAATTCCCACCTTCAAGTTGAGTTGCTTCAAATAGTTTTGTTTTCAGAAAAGAAAAAAAATTTTACAGCTCATATTCCCTATCATAAGTAGAGAAATAAATGTGCATTTGAAAGAGATGACCTAATTCTTTTCATATGCCACATACTTAAAAGCCATACTATTGTACTGTGCCTCCAATCTGGATCTAACTAGTAACTCAGTATTATGGCAAAGTAACCCTAGAGAGCTTATAAGGAAAATGCTGTTTTATTGATATTTAAGAGAAACTGAATATATTTGGGGATTCTTAGTAAAAATAGTAGTTTTTATCATTATGGTTTTTTGACCTGTGCCTTAGATCTGTCCCTGGAGAAGCCACTGATCTTTCTGACGTTGAGAGCTGACAGACAAAGGCAGAATTGTGGAAGAGATCTTCAAATTAGCTTTTGCTGGAGAAATAGGCTTTGTAACTTTAAAGGTACATGGCAAGCTGCTAATAAAATTAATGTTAAACATGTTACTCTAGTGGCTTTTATTTATTCAAAACAAAACTTTGTGTGTCTGGTAAAGTTAATCGGTGACTACTTAGCATAATCTGTGAACTAAGAGAATTTCCATATGGGAACCATTCTGCATTCCATGTAAAGTGCACAATTGTTTGTGTTCAACAGCTGAGCTGATTTATTTCTGACTGCAGTGTATCTTAAATGACACAAACAAACTTTCCCTCTTGCAACCCTGAACACCGACCGAATATGCAGGTGGGAAGAATGATTTGATCATTTGTTTATATCAAATTTTTACATAGAATAAAAGGCTAATCAAAAAGGGAAAAAAGGAAACAAAGGAACAGAAAGAAAAAAGTACAAGAAATGAAAAAGAAATACAAAATCAGTTTATTGTGAATCTTTTCTCATTCATTGTCCTCAAGTCTCAATAAAAAGTATAGTTTCTTTGCAATGTTAGTCTTTAAATCTTTTGTATCAGGTGTGAATTTGTATCCAAAATTTCTTAGCTTTTTCACAAGTCCACCATGATAAAATGTTCCCTCATACGTTTTACATTTCCAGCACTGGTTTGAAATGTCTTTATACATTTTAAAAAATTTATCTGGTGTCATATACCAGCAATACTTCATTTTATTAAAAAATTCTCTTAAATTATACAATGTAATAAATTACCCACCGTTTCTCCCAAGTGTTAATCTCAGTTATATCCAAAGCTAATAGTCCATTTTGTCATGCAGTCTTTAATCTGTTCTTCTGTTTCAAATCTTAATAAAAGTTTATACATTTTTGTTATTACATGTTCACCATTTTACATAATTCCATTTGAAATTGTTTTTTGCTTTTCAGTTCAGATACTCTTTTTATCCATATTAAACCTTTCTTTTAACTGTGCACTTGAGAACCACTGAAAATTATGTTCTTTTGCAGTTTCCATAAACAAGTAGCCTATTACTGGGGAACTGGCTTTCCTCTCCCTTCTAAATTTAAGCCAGCTTCTCCCATTTCCCCTTTGCAGAGATTCAGCTGCTGTAGAGTGGTGGTATCATTTCAGCAAATGTTCTTAAAACAATTGACAGCTGGTGCCTTGGAAACTTTGCATCTGCTCACAGCAATGGCTGTTCTGTAAGCCCTGAGCAACTACCAGGAACTGAAAATATGGATTCGGGACCACTAACTCTGCGTTGTTTTTCATGCCCTCCTGTAGAACAGCTGGATGGAAGACCTGAGTGGCTTGTGCTAGTCTATGTTTTGAAGTTGGTGGCAGTGAAGTCCATTAGTTAACTTTAAACTGCTTTTGAAGAATCAAGGAATAAAAATTGTAATGATGTGAAGATGCCCTTGATTATCCAAGGATTAATAATATTGTTATGCATAGTTTAAGAAATGCAGATTCCTTTCTTGTTTGTTTGCAAAAACTTTCTGATTAAATGAAACTAGCAAACAGCAACAAAAAGATGTCAAAAGTTCAAAGCCAGATTAAGATCCTAAGTAGAGATAGGGAGACATAGATCTTTGATTTTAAATCTCCTCTCATTCAGTTGCAGGATCCTGGTTTCTTCTGGAATGAGGGAGAGAAAAAATGTCTCTATTCTTGTTTTATATAAAGTGTGTGCAATTTTATACCTCTATCATTTCCCATATTTTCTAAACTAAAAAGATATTTTGATAAAGACCATTATTGTCTTTAAACGTAGGGGTGGCGATGATAATATGTGGAGATTTTTTAAATCATCCAAAGGCAGAATTATGTTTGCATACATGTATGTATGAGAGACACTGAGCACCCTAGTGGTTTGGGTTTTTTTTAAACAACTTTATTACATTTCAAGAGAAAATAAAATACAAGATAACCAAAAATGGGAGAAGGGATTCAAAAGGGGGAAAGTTAAGAAGTGGGGGGAAGAGAGGGTGGAGGGATAAGCAATATATATTTAAAAAGACTTTAATTTTCTTCAGTACAGATACAAATATATAACTAGATAATCTCTTATTATAAATTAAATTAAACATAGCATAGCCAATATCTAAGTTTAATAGCATGTACAATCTACAATCAATCCAATTATCCAATGACTAATTCAAAAATGCTTATTCATCGTTATCAAATAACATTTTAAATATAATTTCTAGTTTAAAAATAAACCAAAACAAAATCTTAAACAGAATATTCAATTTTAGCAGCTCTCCTCAATTCATTTTTACAAATCCACTTTTTCATTACCAATTTTTATCTTTGTTTCATCTCTGTGCATAATATAATCCTTTAAAAATTCCCATAGTTCCTCCATTCTATTCATCATAACAAAAGTTCCTAATCTCAATTACACATCCATCTTTACATTCTTATATAAATCACAACTTCATCATAAACTTCATACCTTAAATTCACATACCCACCAACAATCAAAATTAATATTATACCCCAGTTTTAGAAGTTTAATCTTAACTAACAATTTAAAAATATACCGTGAGTATAAAATAGCCATCATTAATACATAGATCTCTGCTAATACCTATTTTCTCATCTAAACTCTATCAAATATATGTATGCACACCCTTATTTTCCTTTTATAGTTCTTTTATTAACTTAAAATTTCTTCAAATAATAATTTACTCAGCATAATCAATAAAAATTGTAGGCCATCTTGTTACAAATCTGTAATCAACCTTCATTATAATATGACCAAAAAAATCTTATAATTTATATGTAACGTATTTTCCCTTTCATATACCTCCTATTTTCTCCAATCCCTTATCCATAATCTCCAGATTGTTGTTGAATATGCATTTCCTTCTGTTTCTCTTAAATTCTCATCAAAATATATTTCTAGTATGAAAATAAATAACTCTTGGACAAAATATAGTTCCCATTTGATCTATGAAATACAGTCTGTTTGGTATACATCAAGTAAAATAAAATGTTTCCTCTCCTCTTTTTCTCAACCCCACGTAGCGGTTTCTTTCAAAATAGTTACAGTATTTAAGTTTCCAGCTTTTAATCTTAAATCAAATGAAAATGATCATAAGAAACTTGTTCCTGTATTTTTTTCTTTCTGTAGATAACAATCACTTAAAATGTATTTATAAGGTGTCTTTCCTTAATTTTAATTTCTATTTTATCTTTTATTTGTTCATGTTCCACAAGAATCATATAATTTATTATCCAGTAATTTTTGAGTTCACTCAAGCATAGCTTCTAGGAACTAACATCTCTAAGAATTTGGTGTGGTTTCTTTTTTCCCCATCATATTAAATAGCACACTCAAGTGTCCAAGAGAATAATTGCAAATTATGATTTCTCAGAGAAAAGGGGAGGGGGCAGATACAATTTACATTCATTGATAGATCCAAACCAATCAGCAATGAGTTAAGTGAAAATTCTAATATCAGAAAGGAAAAGAATGCAGCTTCAAATATCACAAGTACAGATTCTTCAAATGTAAGTTTTAATCCTTTAAAAAAAAGCAGTTTAGCCTCCCCCAAAAAAGAGTTTTACAATTCAAAATTTTGTCGTCTTGTTCTATAAGCTAAATTCAAGTCTCAGATCAATTTTTTTTAATCCAAAATGACTCTGAAATATTGAAAGTCACCAAACTATTGTATAGTTCCATAATTGAGGGAAGACTCTGACTTAAAAATTAATAAGTTAAATAAAGTGTTTAAGAAATAGGGAGGCTAGGTTTAATGTCTATTTGTCCTAGCTACACAAAACAGCTGTTGAACTTGGTGAAAACCTTGCCTGGTCATTCACTAAGCCGAGATATCAAATTTGATTTCATTGAGGGTCACATGAGAGCCATATTATGTTTGACTGCAGCGGGCATGGCCAGGTGGGAGTGGCCAGCTCAACATCACTTGTGTTGGGGGCACCTGTGATGGCCCGGGCTGGTCTGGGGAGATCCATTGTCTCCAGCAGAGGAAGGCGAGAACAGGGAGAGTGCCAAACCCTTGTCCTCCAAAGGAGCCTTGCAGTCTGCTGGTGGCCAAGTGCTAAGACAGGACTTCTCTTCCTTCCTTCCTCCCTTCCTTCATCTTTTTCCTTCCCGCTTCCTCCTTTCTTCTTCCTTCCCCTTGTTGCAGAAAATCAAAGGACTCGGATTTCAAAATCAAGAGAAGCTTTATTTTGGCCAAAAGGTTCAGACAGAAATATAATCATCTAACATCTGAACAAAGTTCTGTTTAAGACACACATTCTTATAGTCTCCTAAAGCAGCAAAACACGGAAATATGTGAAATCAGTCCTAATGTCTAGGCCCCTTGTTGCTGGGCAGAAAGGCTGATTCATGCTGGTTTTTAGTTCTGCATTTTGACATGGAAGGAGAAAGTTAACTAAGTCCGTGGTTTGACTTTTTGAACTCAGCAACTGTCTCTTACAATAACAAGTCAAGGGACCTTTAGAGATCATCCAAGCCAACCCCGTATCATTTCACTCTTATATCCAAATTTCACTTTACGTCCTACTTTACCCTCTTTCCTTCCTTGCTCTCTTCTCATCTTCCTTTCTTTTTCTTTGCCTTTCGTCTTTCCCTTTCTCCTTTCCTGTCCCTTCTTGGATGCGCAAATGCAAAGGGCGAAACATTTCTCCTTTTGTTTTGTTTTGCTTTTAGTTTGTTTTGCTAGACCTCTGCCAGCAAAGATGGGGCTGGGGGGGGGCAGATGTGCCCCCCCTGGGCCCCATTTTCAACCTAGATGGTCTGCAGTCCTCTGCCAGTGAAAACAGAGCTCAGGGAGGCTGTGCACGGCTCCCACCAAACTCCATTTTCGGTGGCAGAGGGCTGCAGGAGGCCATCCAGACCAAAAACAGGGCCTAGTAAGGCTGCATGTGGCCCTCCCGAGCTCCATTTTGGCTGGCAGAGGCACCGCAGGCTGATCCTTCACTGTTTCCAGGCCGGCCTACGGGCCAGATCTAAGCACCCCGTGGTCCGGATCCGGTCCCCGGGCCTTGAGTTTCACACCCCTGGGTAAGGTGATCCACCCAAAGATACTCCAAAATAGCTATGGCATATTT